GCAAACTAGCTTTGTCTGCTCATCGGATCCTGTGCACTAATAGAATCCCTAGTACCATGGTTTATTGTGTCAAAAAGAGGCTTTGCCCCTCGTCATGACCTCAAACCGTTCGAAACTTCCCAGAGAAGCCCGTCGATAAAGGTATCTGTTTCTATACCACGAGAACCAAATAACTTCAACTGTTCTTATTACCACGATACCTACGGCAAGTCTTCTAGAAACTTCTGGAAACGTCCTCGCCGTCACGCAGTAACACTAACTTTGTTCGTCTTATAAAAATCGCTGACGTGATGATGATAGTACTCAATCCCGTCGATGCTGACCCAGAGGCAGGTAGATGTAATTGTATGTTAGTGACCGTCCAGAAAATTCAGTTTTCAGCTTACAGAAAAAAAGGGAAACCGATCACTTTTTACAGGAAGATGTATTTTCACCTCAACATAAGTTTAAGCAGGCCCATTCACTGGGTTCTCGTTGTTACAGACATGCCAATACCAATCACTATCAATGACCTGCTGCAATAGAGTATTTGCTCGTTTACCCAATCAGATAGGGGTCAGCAGACGAACATACTTAGTTATCTCCTAGTGGAGTCTCATTTTCTCTTCGAAGGTTACGTAGGATTTTAACTATACATTATACAGGTTCATACGTTCAACCGATGCTTGACGAGTTGATGGCTGGTGATGACTTCGTGGTAGCATGTCCGAACAGAAAACCTGACCTTTGTTTTTCGGTGATTCCAAAACACGACATGATTGTAGGCACCAAGGGATAAAAAATCGCGGTCGAATTCCAAGATCATATTAAGCATAACATTAACGCCTGTGGTACTCGCACTCTAGCAAATAAAGTAGATACCATTCTAAATTACCCAGAACCGGCCACAGTCACGTATTCAGGTGATTGATAATGTTTTATCGGCCGTTCATACAGCGTCGCGCGTCTGTCGTGAGACCACTAACAGTACAACTCAGCATAAAAACAGTTCACAATTTACTGAACATATACAATACATTTTTGGGGCAGTCAATATAATTGCAGACGCCTCGTCTCGTATAACTTCCTTGAACAGTTTCCAAGGAATCGACCTTCTTAAACTCACTCAGCTTCAATAAGAAGACACTGATCTTCAGCACGAGTTATCTTCGACGACCATGAAACTACGGAAAGAAAAGATGGGAACAGGTGTGGAAACTACTATATGACACATCTACAAACAGTAATCTTCCGGTCTTACCAAAACATTATTAGCACAACGTTTTCAGTAAATTGCACAAACGTCCTCATTTAAGTGTTTGAGCAACCACAAAGTTCACAGCAGAACGATTGTTTGGCCTGGTATCAAAAAAGTCGTGTGGGCGTGGGCATGCCCTATTGTGAACTGCCGGAAATCTCAGGTGATTCAAAACAACAAGTGTCACTTAGGCTCTTTCAAACTACCGACGTTCGTTTCATTCGGATTTGGTAAGACCCGTGCCAGATTTAAACGGACACTCTTATCTCTTGTGTAGATCGTTTCACATGGTGGCCAGGAATAGTGTGCTGCGTGCTACTTATACTGACATGAGTAGTATGTAACGCGAATCAGGAATGTAATATATAGCAGCAGAAGATTGAGAAGATCAGGAAAGGAAGAACGGGAATAGAAAGCAGTTAGTATGGAAATGCAAGAACGATGAAGTCCGAGACAATTATTGAACATTTTGCAAATTAAGTATTATAGTATGGTAATTCTATTTACCAAGTAACTTCGTAATTTCGTGCTAAATATAATTCGTTTGTCTTCACCTGTGTTCTCCTTCACTACAATAGCACCTATCAAAGACATTAGTGCTGAGACAGTGGCCCGCGCTTTCGTCAAACGGTTGCCCTTCAACTAGCACTACAGACCGTGGACGCCAGTTCGAATCTGGACTACAATACTAGTAACCACACAACCATGAATGATCGTCCACCACTCACAAGCAGGATACTGGGACACTTTTTGTTTTGTCTGGATTCTTTTTATTGTTGCGTCAAAACAAAATGTTATTTCTTCCAAGGTGTTTACATATGCGCGTTTTTATTTTTCAATAAAATTTTGTGGAATCATTTTTCTCACTATTGCATATTATCTGTACGCGTGTATACCAGTTTTTTTCTTAGCGCACGTTTTGCGTCCTATACTCATATTTCGACTCATAACTATACTTTCCTTTTTTCTCTCCTGGGACTGCTGGAAAAGATGAAAAAATGATAGGAAATGCAGTGAGTCGAAACTTTCATTGCGTTTTTTATTGTTATATTGTACCACATTACCCTTATATCAAGTAAGGACGATGAACTATTAGCCACGACTGACTGTTTACTTCAAACTTACTAAATAACGTGAGTTCGGATAACAATTAAAGCGACTGATCTTGTCTCTCTAGATCATATACAATGTTTATGATACTGCAATACTTTTATCAAGTATTTTCATAAAGACCAGTCGTATATAATGTGTCGAAAACACCACTCTCAAACCTTTCTTTTACATAAGATATCTAACGACTTCATCATGACTACATAATGTTATGTGAAAATGCGTTGATTTTAGGTAGAACATCTGATTTTAACCTCAAGATGGAGCATTTTGGACAGCTTCAGTGTAATGGCTGAACATTTATACATGTTAGACTCAATATTTACACAAGCAATCTTTTTTAAAAAGACTACATGTTTACCTTCGTTTTCCGAACTGTGGAACTAAAAGCCGTTTCCCAAATTCTAAATCCTATTATCAGAAGTTTTTTATTCTGCATCACCTTACACGTCAGACTGTTATAGAAGTAGGTTAGTACAATGGCTTCCCAAGAAAACGTTCAGCACGGTCATATCGTTGTTTATACTAACTCATCCTATTATGAAAGTCAGCGGATGTTAGTAATAGCTTTCGAAGAACACTTACGGACTGAGGATGGTATAATGTATTCCATATGGGGATATCGAGAATAGACAGAGTGATCATGCATGAGTATGCGAACCACGTAGTCTCTCTTAAGTGTCCCTGCGTTGGCCTTTCTAGACCCTCCCAGGGATTCGGACACCATGAAGGATGAGGTAGTGCAAGCAACACTATAACTACCATAGCTGAGGTTTGACAGAATACTACCTGCTGGAGACTGCAGCACTCCATCCTCACTGTCATGTTTAGTGCGGTGACAAACAAGGTGCCCCAAATGGACAAGAATGTTCCTTACCTTAGCTACACCGGGGGAAACTACCCAACCATGAACGACCATCTTCAACAGGCTTAATATCTACGAGAGTGATGGAGGTCAACAGCCGATGCCCATAGGGAGATAGTGAAGGACATTATAAAGGACGCTATCCAACAAAATATACCACACGTAGTACACCCGGAAAACGAAGGTTCTGGGTTAAATGGAACGCCGAACGCTTGCCGTAAACCAAACAGAGAGCACAGCACACGCGGAAAGTTCTTTCGGAGGACTCCGACAGTAACTCCTACTTGGAATTGAGAGGTGGGTTCAACGTCAACGTCCACAAAGCTAGGAGATATTTTCAGGCCAAGCCAGTAACTAAAATCCAAACTAACCCCAAATATCTCTGCAGATACATGACCAAAAGGAAGCCTAAAAACCATCCGATCTTCATTATTAAATGACCAAATAGCAATCGTCTTACTAATTCATAGTTAGCAGAGATCTTTCACCCCTAATTCATTGACCAACTACTCTAGGAACATGCATGCGCTTTAAAACTTTTCAACTCTGGGTTCTAGGAAGTTTACGACCAACTGCTGTTTTATTATCAGTAAAACCTATATCCTTATGCCCAGGTAAGTCACTGGGATGTGACAAAATCCGACCTATAATCCTGGAACAGTGCTCGAAGCCCATCAGTACACCAGTAGGTGATCTGTTCAGGAACTTATAAGAGTCGCATCAACTGCCAACAGAATGGAAACAGTGCACTTTCTCTCGAATCTTAAGAGAAAAGACAGAAAAGATCCGTGCCTGTCACAATAATTTCAATACTATCGAAGATAATGGAAGGACTAGTCAATGAACAAATGAGGGAATACATGGATAGGGATAATATTCTTCATATAAGCCAGCACAGGTTTAGGAAAGGCAGGTCGTGTGCAGCCAATCTACTCATAGAGTGCGACAGTCGGACGATTTGCTAAGATCAAAGACACCGTTTCATGCAATGTTCTTCGACTTAACGAACGACTCGAACATGGTAGTGCACGCGTTTCTCATGGAGAGTGTTGCAAAGATACATGACCAAAAGGAAGCCTACAAACGAGGGTTACTTTCGGTCTCGTAATCCAAAATTATTGTCAATGAGCCAAATATGGTTGATATAATGCAAAGTGTGCATCCGGAGTAATCACGTTACACTAATATCAATGCGACCTGTAATTACAGATAACAAATATATCAGCGTTCGATTATCATGGCAGCTAATAATTGAGAAGAGGATGTAAGTGTTTGCTGAGGTGGATTTGTGAAGGATAATCGTTGTCATGTGGTGAGAGTATAAAACGAGAACGGAGGATTAAGATCGAAAGTTTTCAAACGACACCTTTGCAGCCAATACTGGCAATTGTACAAATTATGAGAAATAATTAAAAAAGGGATTAATAACAAAAACCAGTCACAAAATAAGTTCGTGTTCTCTATCTCTACAAATGGAAGTTAACCTAAACAAGATTATTTAGTCAATACAGTGTTTGCACACATTAGATGAAATCATGAAGATCATAAATATTGACAAAAGTTACTCGTAAACTAGGTTTATTACAATCATTTTTACACAACTATCTTTGTCTATCTATGGATGTCTTCTATGAACGTGCTACTGTGCTAAGTCCAAGCTTGCAAGATTAAAAGCATATAAAATGAAAGGTAAGGCCCGAAATAAAATTCTCTGTGAAAAGTATGTTGTCTTACTGAGGTCGTTTGCCTTCACCGCTGTTGGACTTCGTTAGCGCAACAATGGTAAAACAGCTGTCTGACCTTGAAGTGCACAGCCTGCTCTATCCGGTGTGAATGTATTTCACTACAGTTATGCGTGTTTTGTTCATTAATGTTAGGTGTTTTTAGATTTCACTCAAAGTTAATTTCGGGATTGTTGATTTATCCAAATAGTTATGTTGTAGCACTGAAACACCGTTCTGCATGTGGTTTGCCTATAGGAAACGTCTACAAAAAATGGTCTCATTCCACAACGTAAGACATAAGTACGTAATTGCTCTTCCTAGGTATTGACGTGTGCAGACACTAATTTAGTATTCACGTAAATGAATACAATTAGGAGACTCAAGTTCCTCATTTTGCGAACAAATGGTCAAAAGCCTACTCTAGTCCTCTATCAGTTGGGCTCTGTTCAGTCTTTTAAATGGATTAATCCATCTGTTGAAAATGCGAACATTAGGTCACGATAGTTGATAATTTGTGCAAAAGTTCTTACTTCAGGCGGATATGGTTGGTAAGCCAATTACATCTTAGTAGATGTAATCACCTGAAGTCTGATCTGAGTTACATTTCAAACAGTACATACAGTTTGCACAGTTTTTAAGCCGGGACACATTTTGTAGTTTCTGTGATAAATCCTCTCGGTCGTGTTCCGTGAAAAGGGATGGTTGTATTATCCTTTCGTTCCAGTGCTTGAGTACAATTGGATTCAGGCAATTGACCTGTCTAGCATCCCATTCCCGCACGACAGTCGAGCAGTATGATTAGCCCTCACCAATTCAGATTTGTGTAGTAAGGACAGAAGGCCTACGGCCTATGTTATTCCTTTTCTAGTATGCTTCTGTGAGTGTCCAGTGTTCTCTTGAAAGAGTCGATTGAAGGTGCGGACACCACTGCTTCGGGCAACAGGTTCCAAGTATTGATGACTCGGTGTGAAAACCTATATGCCACGGGTATTTTGTTCGTTCTTGGCTTTTCTACTCGCCTGCTGTGTCCTCTGAGATGTCCCGATCTAGTGGGAAGAAAAAGAGAGAATAAGTGAGGTCCAAAATCATTTCTCAGTATTCTGTACATCAAAATTAGATCTCCCCTTAGTCTGGGATAGAAGAGAGTAAAGTTGTCCAACTTTTCAAGCCGCTCTTTGTGTGGTAGACCCGGAGTTCTGAAATTGCACGGGTAGCTGTCCTCTGTACTTTATCTATGATATCGGAGTCACCTTTTAAACGGGTTTGCAGCCTGAACTCAGTTCTCTAGCTTAGTTCTCACTAAGGTTGTATATACTGTAGTGAACATTCAGAAAGGAGCTGAGGGTATGGGATTATGTGTTGTTATAAAATAAAATATAGGGCTAGGAACGGTATTGTGATATACAATTGGCTATCTTCCTTTTTTTATCGAAGCTGTTGAAGCCCTTTTCACTTTTTTTGTATTTTTTTCAGGTATCATAGGGTCTTGAGTAGGCTTCGTACATTAGCGAATTGTCTAGTTTGCTTGTAATAGGATTACTAAGGATGAGTATACTGCGGTGAACATTTTAGTATCTAACTTAGTGAATGTCCGTTTTAAAGCCCAGAGGGTTCGAAACCCCTTAGCTGCGACCTCCCGGCAATGGGCCGTCGTCTTAAGATCATGACTCACTGTCACCCCTAGATCTTTATGAGACCGGACTACGGGTAATGGCACTTCCCCTATGTTGTACCTATTAACTTTTGAATCCCAAAAGTGCATGTAGACACACTTTGCCGCGTTGATAGGCACCAGCCACTCTTTAGACCAGTTAATCATATTATTTAAGTCTACCTGAAGAGCACGTGCGTCTGTGTCTCCAGTTATTACTCACCAGATTTTTACGTCGTCAGCGCACAATAACATCGGAGACTACTATACTTGGAAGATCATTAAGATACATTATAAAAAGTAAAGGACCTAAGACGGAACCTTGAGGTACCCCACTAAGTACTGGTCTCCAGATGGAGCACTTGGAATTTATTATTACTTTCTGCCTACGATCTACTAGGAAATCATCCATCCATTTTAATAGAGGTCCGGCAATACCAAGGTTTTCCAACTTCAGTAGCAGTCTATTAGTTGGCACCTTGTCAAAAGCCTTACTGAAGTCTATGTAGACAACATCCACTGAGTTTCCGTTGTCTAGTGCCTTTATCCAGGACTCCGTTGCTATAAGGAGGTTTGTTGTACAGGATAGACCCTTTCTAAAACCATGTTGTGCCATTTCCAGCAAGTTATTGGTTTCCATAAATGCCGTTATGGTCCGTTTGATTATTCTTTCCAGTATTTTAACTACAACACTGGTGAGGCTTACAGGTCTGTAGTTCAATGGAAGTCGTCTTGGTCCTGCTTTATGTATAGGAGTGACGATTGTGTCCTTCCAGTCCATAGGTAAAACACCTTGGTCCAGTAACACATTGAATATCACAGTCAGTGGGGCCGCGATATATTGTGCAATGTCTAAAAATTTTGGGGTGTAGTTCATCTGGTCCTGTTGACTTTTCCATGTTTAAGGTGCTAAGAGCCTTAAGCACATCGTCTTGATCAAAGTCTGCGGTTAGCATTTGGTTTGTTGACTTTATTTTGGTTTGGTTCTTTGTCTAGGGGAGGTTCCTGAGTGAAAACTGCCCCAAAATAGTCAGCCATAGCCTCTGCTTCTTCCTGATCTTCCTCTGTCATTTCAGATTCACTTCCTTCTTTAATTAGGTTGGGAATTCAATGATGCATCCTTGTTCTGTAGTTTATGTACGAGAATATTCTCTTGGGCTGCTTGAGTGCAGATTGTGCCAGCTGAATATCATATTTTCTCTGAGCTCCCCCGAATTTTCGTTATACACTTGTTTCTTACCGATCTGTAGCGTTCCATCGTGCCAAGGCGGATGGCAACATCCCAACATTCCTTTTGTTTTAGTAAACGTCGAATATCCCGGCCTATCTAGGGATGGTTGTGCTTCTTCTTCTTTGGAACTGTCCAGGGTGTGTATGGTCGAGTTACCCGACTGTATAACTGCCTGAAAAGAGTCCATGCCTCTTGTACTGATGCCCTTGAGTCAATTTCCCAGTTTTCAGCCGATGCTGCGGAGTTGATTGCCTCCAATATCTGCCTTCCATATGTTGGGACGGGCCGGCGTAACTGTTTGGCAGGCAATCTAAGCCATGAATTTAAATAAGATGACTGCATGGTCACTTCTCCCTAGTGGTGAGAGAAAATTCATTTGACCAACGTCATCACCGTGTGTGAAGACTAAATTCAAAAGAGAAGAAGAGTTTCTTAAGTCATATCTTGTGGGGTTTCTAATGTTTTGAAATCAAGCTAATCCAATCAATGTTTCTAACAGTTTGCATTCGAACGACGTTACCGATGACCCTACTTCTAAGTTAACCCAGTCTATATACGGTGCATTAAAGTCGCCTACTACAAGGCTTTTACCCTTGTTACACCAGGACTTAAGTTTACTTAGGAGAAAATCATCTGCTACACATTCTGGACTGCGATATACTACAACTATTTCAATATCTTGCCGTCTACATTTCAGCTTACATCGCACCAGTTCACATGTCCCTGAAACACGTGCCACTGTCTCAGCTACTCTTACGGTTAGGGTACTTTCCGTGTACAGGATAACCCCGCCTCACGGAAATTTTTTTAGAAGTACAATAAATCTGTACATGATAAGTGAGTTACCCTGGCTGGGTAGCATTTTGAATAACGTTTTCTGAGGAGTCGTTTATTTTGCAGAGCATCTAAAGTATAGCATAGCCTATATGATACTGTAAATTGTTCTTTAGTCAGTGTTTCATATCTCCACGTAGTTATTCTTGTTAACATCTACAGGAAATAATCCGCTCACCATAGTTCCTGAAACTAGCTATGTTCGTAGTTGTCTCACATGTAAGGACCTCGAAGTCATCGCTCATAGACTAAAGTTTTCTCGTTATTTCCCATCAAATGAGATGCCTGATGTAGACTCAATTTTTGTGTATTATTTGCCGACGGTTGGGCTGAGTGGAAGCAAATTAATTATCAGTTTATGACGTCATATTTTTTAGGAATGATAGTTCTGTCGGGTCAACATTCATGGATTCTTCACGACTTCTTGGGAAGGGTCCAAGTGGTCATATCGTTCAGTAATTTGAGGTCCAGAATAAAATCCAATGCTTTAGTTTTCTGTTCTCAATTGTGGTACGATGCAGGACAATATTCATTTTAGTTTTGTTCTTATTATAGTCGCTATCTTAATGCTTGCTAGTGAAGTCTCAAAATATTTTCTCATGTTTTTTTCACAATATTGTCATTGAGTTTTGCAGCGCATTGTTATTTTGTTATCAGGTTTTGTATGATAAGTGATAGACAAGTAATCTATTCAACCAAATCAAAATGACATAATGTCAACAATGTTCAATAGTTTGCGGTTAAATATCTTGATAGTCACGCTTCCAAAATCTTACTTTTGTTATCTTAATTTATTAACCTCACCAAACTAACCGGTTGTGGCACCAGAACTCAGTTCGTATTTTATCAGATATTGTGTTTTATAAGCAGTCATTTGTATAACTATTGTATTTTGAATTATCTTTCAGCTACTATGGAATTTCTGGATATCAATCTGGATGAAGTTGCTTCTGCTTTTCACGAAGCTAAACGTTTTGGGAAAAGGTGATTTCTACTAAGATTGGTAATTCTTTTTACTTCAGATGTAAAGAAGCTCCTGATGGTCCGATTGAAGTTAAACGATGTCTCAAAAAGTTTCCAAAGTTCCAAACATACGTGCTTTTATCAGGTAGTGGTTGCATTCATGAGGTTAGTGTTAACAGCTGAAACTATTGTTAGTTAGGTTGTCTATCCTTCTGGTTATGCACTCAATGAATTGAAGAATCTAGAAAATCCTGTAAGGAATTATCCCTTTACTTTGGATCCATTTCAGCAACGCGCCATTCTATGTATTGAAAACGAACAGTCTGTTATGGTATCTGCCCATACATCTGCTGGTAAAACTGTGGTTGCTGAGTAAGTCATTTGGTTCAGTATATTCATGAATTTTTAGGTACGCAGTTGCTAAAAGTCTGAAGCAGAATCAGCGCGTTATTTACACAACGCCTATCAAGGCCCTGAGCAATCAGAAGTTTCGCGAATTCTCTGAGATTTTTAAAGATGTTGGCCTAATGACTGGTGATATAACTATCAACCAGGAAGCAACTATTCTTATAATGACAACAGAAATATTGAGATCTATGTTGTACAGGTAACTGCCAGGGTTGAATTAATTCTGCTGGATCAAAGTCGATCAATTCCCGCGTTTGTGCTGAAGCTTTTCAATATTACTGATAGATTCACACAATTTTTTTCTAATCATACGGTGACATTTGTACGTTTTCAGGTTTCTGGATTATTAAAAATCATTCGATGCACACCACTCTAATCTATGTCATTACACATGTACTGGACATGCAGACATACAGTTTATGGTCGTGTAATGCCTGTCGGAGCAGAATAATCATTTAGTGGAAGTAGTTCAACTCTAAGCTTGTGAAACCCAGCCCTTTATGGTTGATGATGCCTAACGAATCTTTGTGCTCGATAATTTCCGTCTCTAAGAGATTACTCACGTCCGGTAGGAACGCTGTGTTAGTGATGCCAACGTACGGCAGTGTTCGGGTGTACCTAATATACTCCATCTAGTATTATCTTAAAACGTCAGTGTTAATGATACCGAAACTAGCCTTGTATAGATAATTTATCCCAAAACTCAGTCTGTATTCTATGCGAAAATTCGAGAATATACATTTTCAAATTAAAGCGAATTGCTGATTTTTTGATTCTTTCAACACTTCTAGCCCGACCGAAATCAAATTAACGCTTACTATTGTAGCGACCACTAACAACCTAGTTTAATCTATAGAAATGTAAATAAACATATTTTGATCCTTGATAATGCATATAGCTCTGAATCGTTTCCAGTGGTGCAGATTCACCCACTTGTGTGCCTCTAGGTTTTTAGTTTTAAAATTAGATCATACTTTCCTTGTTTCATTCTCTAATTAGGTTGTATTGTTTAATGTTTCCTACCACAACTGATACGGTTACTAGTCTTGTTTTGATAACGTCATCTTGTGCTGGTATGGTTCAGCAGCGTGAACCGATCCACATATGTGCCAGGTTCTTTGCTGTTCCTGACTATTTGCTTTTATGTATTCTCTACATTCTTTTTAGTCCCAGCTCTTATTTTTAAAGGTACTTCATGTCTGTATGATTATTTGAAGGTGGCTGTTAGAATTTTCGTAATCAAGTCCAGTATGAACGAGTAATTTAATCCAAACAGTTTGTTAGGACTAAAGTACAACTAATGATAATTCCGAAGAAAATCAATTGTGTTAGTTTTTCATTTCAATTAATTAATGTCAAAACATTTTCTTGAGCATATTCAATAGAGATGCAAATGCAAATTATCATTCCTAGATGAACGCTGACGAAATAAAATGTTAAACTTCGTAGTTTTTAAAATGTAGAATATGGCTTTCAGTAACAATTTTAATGCACTTGTGAAATAATAGTTAGAAGCAAACGATAATAGGCTTTTAAAATTCTTGATGACATGTTGGTACTGATTTGCTGCAGGGCCTATGAATGAGAGATGGCATGTGCTAGCTCATATCCAAAAAAAAATTTATGAGAACTATACGTCTCCAAAAATGCGCTAAGTAAAACTTATCATCCATATATTGTTTATGTTTCGAATCATTTTTAATTTGATGATAAATACTAACGCAAAGTCGCATTAGTTTCGTAGTTGATTTTGATTTTTCACAGTATTTTTACATTATGAGGTGCATGTAAACAGCCTAGTCGAAATAACTCTTAATAAGTGGATTGTATTGGTATTACTTACCCTGTTACTCATTAAGTGATATTTATTTGTTCTTTGGCATCATATTCTAGAAGCTCAGATGTAACTCGTGAGGTTGGCTGGGTTATTTTCGATGAAATTCATTATATGAGGGAAAAAGAACGTGGTGTTATCTGGGAGGAAACCATCATCTTATTACCTGATAGTGTTGGGCTTGTCTTTTTGAGTGCAACAATTCCAAATGCTCGTGAATTTGCTGAATGGATAGTGTTTTTACATAGAAAGCCTTGTCACGTTGTTTACACTGATTGTCGTCCTGTTCCATTACAGCACTATGTTTACCCATGTGGTGGAGATGGAATTCATTTGGTAGTCAATCAGAACGTAAGTTTCTTAATATTCTCATTTGAAAATGTTTATCTCCCGAATGATATAACTGATAAGTACTATTTTCATTTTAGTTGATCTTAAAATTTTATTTGGTGGTGACTTTCGATTGATAGTAATAGTAAATTGACAATTCATTTCTAAGTACTTATAGCTACAGTGTAAAGAAGTTTAAACAACGCATTTCGCTAAATATTTTGAAGACAGTTGGATCTTTTTAAGTCAAAGTAGAATACCCTCATCATCATATGTTTATTAACAAACTGTCTGACACAAATAAATTTAATTGCTCGTCTTCTGAAGAAGAGCCATTGATTCTCAGTTTTAAGGTTCAGTAATCATGAGTTTGCTGAAGTTACATACTGTGCAACGTTGACATAACAATTTTAGTCAGCATATTCACATCGTGCATCTTTCTAAGTATGTAAACTATGGTAATTTTGATTTTAAAATATGGTTTGTAAGCGGTTAATGGTAATCTAACGACGTAAAATGAGTTCATATTATTTTGCCCAGTTCTTTGTCCTTGCTTTCCAAATATCGTAATTCGAAAGTTTAAATGTGGATAATTAGGAAACTCGTTTCCTTCCTTGAAACAATGGGCAAAGTTCCTTTAGTGTTGATAAGACGAAGTACTAGACTACATCTTTTATTAATAATTCTAGTACTTATCTAATAGTCACATAGCCATATAAAGACGGTCAAAATGAAATTTCATGCTATCTCAAAGCCGATTCTACACCGTCAGATTGATAAAGGATTCAAACCACATGCGAAACTTTGCTCTCATTGCTGTTTGTCGGATGCCGTTTTTTCTTAACGTGTGTTCGTTTATGCTGCTATGTGATATGTTCGTGTATTGCGTTTATAATTCGCTGCATCAATTTCAATGCTGTGAACAAAACTATATCTATTCTCCTCTTTTCCTCCTCACTAACTTGAGTAATAACACCAGTTTAGTAGACAAAGCATTTTGATGTTGACCCAGTTTGTCGATTGCATATCAATTAAAAAGTGATTAGAATATTTGAACTGGCTTTTTGTCATTTAGATAAATCATGGTAAAAATGTACTGAAAGTCCATAAACAATGTTCTTACTGAATAATAACTTATTGAAGTAGAATTGGAACTTAATCGATACTGATTTGCTTCTCATAACTTGTAATTGGAGATACTTAGGCATAGATTTTTATCTGACTATTCTATTAACTTTTTGAACATTCAGTCATTCTGTTTCTGTAGCTATGTACATTGTTGACTATGATGATGTAATCATAAAAATTCAGTTAGACCCATCTATATTTTTAGTCAATTACGTAATATTTTTTGAGTTTGATAATAGCTGTATCCAGATTAATTAATTATAGGGAAAACACAGTCGTCTTCATATGTCACGAATGATGCTCTCAATGTGCATATAAGTAATTTCTAGCAGTCAGTCATCATGTAAAACTTAGAAATTTTGCACTATCAGGCTTGAATAGAAGTCTTTTGTTTTTTTCCTTTTCACTTGTGCTTATGTTGAGAGTTAAGATAATAGATTACGTGCACAGTTGACCCTAAACAATTTTGCTGTTGTGTATCCCTAACAGGTTGTTTCGTTTCGTTTCTAATCGCTTGTTTTCCAGCGTGAGTTTATTGAATCTAACTTCAATCTTGCTTTAAATACTTTACAAAATGCCGCTGGCAATTCGATTTCTGATATGAAGTCCCGTGGACGTAATGGTGGCAGCACCCGTAAGTTGAATAATTTCTTTCTAATCGCGTTTTTATATTTATCGCGCACTCATGTCTTTTAACTGGAAACGAAGTTTTCATGCAAGAAATCTCATATTTTCTCACATATTGAGTGCAGAACTCGGAAACGGTTGTTGTAAACTGATCTAAGGTCTGTAAAACGTACGATCTCAGAAGGAAAAACAAGAATCCTCATGTTCTTGTTGTTTTTCTCCCAGTGATCTTACATCTAATCATGTTTTGAATGAAGTATTTTAATGTTTTCTGTTTTAACCTTGATATAATATTAAAACAGTTTACAAAACAGGCAAGTTAACTTTTAAACTTCAGAATAAATGTTTACAATATTCATAGAGTAAAGATTTGAGGTTGATGAACTATTATCAGAATGACAATACTACAATATACTGTTTAGTAAATGTGTGTACTGATATTCGACTAATTTTTTGAAGGTAGTCTGCATTAAGTCGTTGAATACCAGCTAAACACTGAACATTTGTTTCATCTTAATGTTGTACTCGTCATACTCATATGTCATATTTAGGGGTGTATTATTCAATAAACACAATTTCACATCAGTGAACATGATGAGTTTCCATGTACCAAATTTAAGTCTCTGCTTACGCTAAATTACTTGTTAATTTTAATATTTGTCGGAAACTATTACATGGGAAAAATGGAAACAATGCTTAGCGATTCTAGCAAATTTCAGAAAATTACTAGTAATTGTGACATCAATAATAAAGTAGAAAGACAATTGGCCAATTTCCTTAAAGATCTAAAGAAAAAGGGAATAATTACGACCGAGATTCACGATTCAATTAAGCCGACTGGATCATTTACACCACGACTGTATGGTTTGCCTAAAGTACATAAATCGGGTCTTCTCCTACGCCCAGTTCTAGATATGTACAATTCTCCTTACCACAAAATCGCAAAGTGGCTAGTACGAATCTTAGAACCTTTACACAAATCAGTTGTTAGAAATAGTGTAAAAGATGTCTTCAACTTCACCTCCAAAGTAGAAAATATTAATGTTAGTATGAAAAATATGATCTCATTGGATGTAGGATCTTTGTTCACCAACGTACCACTTATGGAGACTATTGAGTTTATATGCAAGCAAATATCAGAAAAACAAATCAACATTGGCTTGCCTAACGATAGCCTAAGGGAACTGCTCCTAAGATGCACTCTGAATGTACATTTTGTCTTCAACAATACTTACTATAGACAAATAGACAGGATAGCCATGGGCTCGCCTCTAGGCCCGATTTTAGCTGATCTCTTCCTAGCAAAGCTAGAAAATGGACCTCTCAATGAGACTATTAAGAAACTTGATTTATATTGCCGATACATTGACGACACCTTCATTATCGTAGATCAAAACACTAGTAAAGAGGAACTCCTAGACCAATTCAACAGTGTTCACCCAGCGATCACTTTCACTGGTGAAAGCGAGCATGATAAGAAGCTGAACTTCCTTGACGTCACACTAAGCAGACGAAGTGACGGCACATTAAGTAGAAGCGTGTATAGAAGAAACCCCTCTTCATGCCAATATACTCACTTCTGCAGTTTCACACCCATCCGTTACAAGAGAAATTTGGTCAGATGTCTCACTAGCAGAGCAAAAAAGATCTGTACAGTAGACACTCTAAGTCAGGAGCTTGAATTTATCAACAACTCACTGACCGAGATCGGCTACCCCAGCGCGTTCATTAAGAAGTACATGCATGATATAATAAAGAAGTCGGAGATTTCGACTGTTCGTAAGAAACCTTTATACATGAAAGTGCAATTCAACGGGGATGTGGCTAGTGACACTCTGAAATATAGGTTAACCAAAGTAATCACCAGGACATTCTACGCAGCCAATCTTGCGTTGACCTTCTCTTGTCGACCAGCGATGTCTACTCAAACGAAGGATAAGTTACCTGAGTTGGCCTCTTCTATGTGCATTTACAAATTCAGCTGCTCCTGTGGAGATAGCTATATAGGGCGTACTACCAGGCAACTTAACCAACGAATGAGTGAACATCTACCAACTTGGTACATAAAGGGCCAGAGAAAATCTATTCGCAGTTCTATATTGGCACATCTTATTGATAGCGGTCATGCAGTAGATAAATCGAAATCATTTCGAGTTATCTATCGTATACCTCCATCATTTCCCGACGGAGTCCGTTCCCGTCTCCTATATATAGCTGAAGCCATTGGAATTCGTACATATAACCCCAATTTATGTGTACAGAAGAAATGCGTGACCCCCCTATCCCTTCCATGGCCAGTTATAACTTAACTAACAATTTTTTTTATTTAAATTTTATTATTATCATTATTTATTTTATTCTATTTGTGTTATCATTAACCTTATTTCCACATCCATTATTTGTTTGTAATTTTCCGCCTCTTTTTGTATTCTTCACTATCTAATTATTTACACACATCTTATTACGTAATGATTTTAATGTTTTGTGATTACTATTCCTAGTCTATTTACCCATGTTTATTTGACCTTCTATTTCCAACGATTAACTATTGATAAGAGTTTTGTTATTGTATTTATTATTCTTACTATTATCAGTTCACCTGTCTTCCTACTATCAACTTGTACTTTTACCTATTATGTGTAGAGACTTATTCTATTTCATTGTGATTATTGACCCATATTGCCTTGATTGGTTTAAATTTTCGTATAAATATTCATGTATATTAGAGTAAAGCCTGATGACGATCTAATTGAAAACATTTGTTCGCTTATATGTGTTGTTCTAATTTTCACAATGGGAATATTTAATATATTTTTTGTAACAAATGAACTGCCTTTTTATTTGAGATTTGACTCCTATCAGTCACATTCTGTTTTCTTCCTTAAAATTATTATCAACAGTTGTCCAGTCACTTTTAGGCTGTAGCATATGCACACAAGGTCATATTTGCTAGTATGACCTTATCGTTAAAACAAAAGTTTATTGTTACGTGATTCATTTTTGGTGCCTTGTTTCTAAGGTTCTCAACCGTATTGCTCGAAGTTAGTCAAGTTGGTAATGGACCAAAATTTGGAGCCACTTATCGTATTTTCATTTAGCAAAATGGATTGTGAATTCTATGCAATGCAACTAAACAAGATGGATTTTAGTACACGTAAGTGTCACATTTTGTTACTGCATCGCTTTTAAAACTCCGAAACAATAATTTCTCCGATCTAAAATATAATATTCGTTTGTGGAGAATTCGTAGATACAAGTAGATTAATAATAATGAAGAACGAAAATCTGTATTTTTAATGGTTGGCAAATTCTATCCAGGATTTGGAATTCTACATTGGCCTCGTAGCAGCTTGTACTATAGGGTATACGTTTAAGTAACCCATATTGATAGACACAATCTCTGGAGAAGTAGTGTTGTTCTTCAACGTTCCTTTGCTTTCTGAATGTTTGTGAAGAAAGTATGGCTTACCGTAGACAACTGACGTTTTGATTTTGATCTTTGTTGATCACACCCATTATGAATGGTCATCCCTGCGTAATATTTGTTAAACTTTTCATGTAAGATATTTGGTAGTGATTTGCATCTGCCATCTACTCAGTTTACTCAGTGAACTTCAATAAAATTTAGGGGACTTATAGCGACTCAGTTTTTATGAATCGTACAAACCAAAACGTGGCATCAGTTTATGAAGTCATTAACTGTTAAAATGAGCTTTGTAGGTTGGTAAGGATTACTTGGTTAAGGTCCGCGTGACTATCGTAACCAGTGGTTAAAAGCTGTTGATAACATGGCTCAGATGTATTCACTGTTTTATCTTCCCTTAGTTCTTGAGTCCCTAAACCTCCTTATACCTTCTTTAAGTATCATTATCAACGTTTGACTTGGTGATTTCGAATAAGTTGACCATCGAGTAAATTTTTAATAATGGAAATAATAATGTACTCGTAAAAACCAAGTAAGTATAAGATTGAATTTCCGACCTTCGCAACTTTGTATAAACCACTTTTTCAAAGAGTAGAGATAAATTAACACAAGTTGTAAAAATAATAGGAAGTAGAGTATTTTATGGAAGCCAAAATCAAAATGGGTCTGATTATGTCAATCTGCTGTCATTACGGTCAAGGTGTTTCTGTGTGAGACATACATGTGTATTTATGTATATATTGTGAGGTGTAGAAAATAAGGTTTTTGTAATGTGGAACAGTTGGGTTACAAATATTTGTTTGCTAATGGTGTGAGACTTCCCCGCAAATATTCTTAGAAATACACCAAGGTGAAATTTCTTTTAAGCATCATTGCATAAGTTAGGTTGAATAATTCCAAATAAATTGAACATTTGTTGGAATGATAATGATAAAATAATGATACGTTTTCGATATCCCAAAAAGAGTTCCTGACTTTTAATGACTTGATGTAAGTCGCTTCAGAGAATAAATGTCCTTTTGTTGAATAATAATAAATTGGTTGAAATATCATGCGTTGGTACTGTAATTCTATCATGCTGTCAGTCAGTCAGTCAGCTACAACGTAGGACCGGGCACATATATGCATCGGTCCAAGTTGCCATACCTCATTAACACAACAAGATGGACACCGGATTCATAAAAGTAGTTCATTCAAAGGTGGTAATATATAAAAGAAAGATTGCAATAAGGATATAGTACACGAAGAAAGAATTAGTTAGTAGAAAGAAAGATATGAAGTGATTTTAATCTCTTAGTTTAAGAGCAGACAGAGAGTGTATACACCGACGCCATTGTGATCGATTCTGAGCCATGTCACCAAGAGTCTCCAACCATTGGTTACGATAGTCACACGGACCCCAACCAAGTAGTCTGCATCTCCCAACATGGCTCAGACTAGAAGTTAGTGACTTCAAGCACTGATGCCACGTTTTGGTTTGGCCGCCCCTAACTTTCTTCCAACCATCTCCAACACCGGTTAGCATTGCACGTCGTGGTAATCGGTGTTCGGGCATACGTAACACGTGGCCCATCCATCTCAGTCGATGAAGATTCACAAGCTGATCAACTGATTTACCATCATTCTATAATACCCTGCGTCTAACCTCACTATTACTTATCCGGTGATCCCAGCAGACGCCAGCAATATTTCTAAGGCATCTGTGGTCAAATACTAGTAGCTTACGAGTGTCTTCTACTCTTAATGGCCATGTTTCGCCGCCGTAAATTAAAACAGAACGGACTGCCGCGCAGTATACTCGTACTTTTATTGATAGACGGATATCTCGCCTTCGCCAAAGGTGACGTAAGTTGGCAAAAGCCAAACGAACTTTTCGAATCCGTGCTGAGATTTCGTCAGACACCAACCCATTACGGCTGATCAGACTTCCAAGATAAGTGAAGTTGTCAACGCGTTCGACTACTTCACTTCCTATCCTTAGTTCAGGTGTTGACGCAGACCAGTCCTGAAGCAGCAGTTTGCATTTACAGGGTGAGAAGTGCATTCCAGACATTCTGGGATTGTTGCTTAGTGCTACCAAAAGACTCTGCGTTTTATCAGCGTCCTCACCAAACAGGACTATATCATCTGCGTATTCCAAGTCGATAAGTGGACTTCCTGGATGGAGATCAATACCCGAGAATTTAGTAGACGAGAATGTTATTACCACCAGTAAGTCTATGATGAAGTTAAACAAAAATGGAGAAAATGGACAGATGCCGCTTGAGGTTGCAAAAGCAGATGACAGTTCGCCATAAGCTCTCACTCGACTAGTAGTGTTCAAGTAAAGAGCCTTTACAAGGTTTATGTACTTCTGAGGTACGCCTTTCGATGACAGACACTGCCACAGAATCTCGCGGTCTACAGAGTCAAATGCTGCTTTTAAGTCAAGAAAGACCACCATTGTCGTACGCCGATAAGTATGCCTATGTTCTAGAACCTGACGAATGGTGAATATGTGGTCGATGCAGCCATGACCAGGTCTGAAGCCAGCTTGATTCTCTCGTTTTTGCAGTTCACGAGTCTTAGTTAGGCGTCTGATAATTATCGAGGCTAGTATTTTCGATACTATATTAGTTAAACTAATCCCTCTATGGTTGTCACAGGATGATTTTAACCGTCTCTTATATATTGGGACGATAAGTGATTGCGACCAGTCATATGGAATAACGTCTAACTCCCAGCTAAAATATTAGTCAACCTAATCGCTAAAATTGGACCACCAATCCATCTGGATCATCTGCCCTTCCTCGTTTCAGATTAACTATAGCCTTTTGAACTTCTGCTAGAGTTAGGGGACCTACTTCAATGTTCCATTCACACTGTCTGGGAATGGAGGGTAGTTGTAGAGTAGCTGAAGGCCAGCTGAACTGTTCTCTAAAATGTTCCGCCCATCGTTCTAAACGTCTGGACTGAGAGCAGATGAGAGTGTCGTCTTTTTCCGAAATAGTCTGACTTACACTTGACTTATTGATTCTAGTTTCTTTTATTATTAGTACCATGCTGTCAGAGCATAAGAGAAGAGCTACAACGAATCCACAAATCACAGATCATTAGAGCTTCCTATGAAAGTTAACACAGTCCAAAATATTTTAGTTAAAATAAAATATAATACCCCTTCCAGCTCGACATAAAACTGTGTCTGCAAATTAGGGTATTTAGATTGTGCTGGAAAGTCCTGTGAAATGTAAACCCATGCTATAATAATATAGACTTCAAAAATAGTTCTCTTAATAATCCTGAAGAAGTGGCTTACACTAAGTTGGCATGAAACTTTCTAGATCCAATTTTTTTACTCATTGTGATCTTAAAAATTTATCATTAATCCTACTATTATACCTTTCTGTTTCCTTTTTACACCTAATCTTTGGTACTGATACTATTACTACTTCTACTACTCTGAGAATTTATATCGATAATTTTATCTCGCTGTGCTAATGTGATGTGGTAATTTGAGCCGGTGCACTTATCTGTCAGGGTCTACGTTGGGTATAGATGACTAACTGATGAAAGTCGAGGCCTAAAGCGCGACATAAGTCGCCAATGTCGCGGTATCCTGTAAGGATAACCAGTACTTATTTTCATGTTCCATTGGATAAGAGCGTAGTCATAAATTCAATAACATGTAGTATTTATTTACCACACTAAATGCAATAAGTTTATCGACATTCATTTGTGTATAGTGATGGCCTTTTGACAGTGAAACCCTAAATCAATTTAGCTGTTTTTAGAACACTAAGCAATAATTCCAAAATTTATACATGTAAACATGTGGCCCGAATAATGATAGTCGTAGTTGTTGAGATACAGTTTCCTACCTAGATAAACTCTTATTCTACGTCCCGAGTAGGAATTACTGGAAGATTTTATGGTCGTTTGATAAAAGTCTGTATGAATCAGCAGCATTTTTTGGTTGGACCTGATCGTCAGTTTTGTTTTCTACCAGCTACCTTATGAAGACGTCTGATCTTTAGATTAAACCAGTTATGTGTGTAAGCATGAAATTTTGCTTAGTTTGTGAGTCCTTGCGTAAACGTATTAACCCAATGACTTGACAACAGTATTTTGTTTTGTTGGAACTGTTATATTCTAGTAAAGATTAAATCACGGGTAACTTCTGGGAACTATTAATATTATATACATATATATAATGAGACTGTAAATAAATTTGAGGAAAATATTTCAGAAGAATCAAACCCTGATGACCTCAAATCAAATGTCGTTCATCCTCACCATCTAGTCACTCCTAGTAGATTCACCATTCAATGCTAGAAATATATTTTAAATAAAGTCACATTAATTATAACTTGGCTATATGAGGATCCAACCGTATTTCGTGGGAGAGATAAGTTTGGAGAATTTAAAGTTACGGATATTTTTTTAAAATCAGGATTTAAACTTCCAATCTTCAAAAACGGGGAAGTGTTATATCCTAGTGAAAATTAAATTTATGGTTAACTTCTGAGAACTATTAATGGAATTATATATATTCTGTATATCTATACTCCTCCTATTACAAGCTTTATTTGGACCTATAGACTATTATGATACGATTTACTATCCTAAAATTTTACTCAGTTTATTGATTACCGTCTTCCACGTTCACAGCCACTTTTTGGCTTGATCTTGTTGAAATGTTATTTCCTATTTTGTGGTTTGATGTGGTCTGTTTGTCTAGTATATCAACCAAGTATGTTTGAAATAAATGATCCGCATAGTGGAAGCTGTTATCGGCGTTCTGGACTCAACTGGAAGGGCCAGGAGAACAAAGGACCAATAAGGACGCTAGGCTGCTCATATCAGTCGAACGTCACTGGTCTAAGATTGTATAATTCGCATTTCAATTGGCGAATAAATCACGTGATAATTAGCCGGACTTAAATATACAACACTCCTACTTCAATTTTCCATTCAGGATGTTCGGGAATGGTGGGCATTTCTAGTAGTATATCTGTAGGACAAATTAAGTCCTACAAAGTTTTGACCAGTATCTCACCAGAAATTCTTACGTTAAGTGCTGTCAAATGTTTACGTAGAAGAATTGAAAGACCGTTCAGATTCTTGAATTGTCTCCCCCATTATACAGGAACTTATATTGATGACCAATTAAAGGAAACGGCTATCGAATAGATACCTTGTTAGAGCAGGAATTAGTTGAAGTACGTTTAGCTCGGATAGAAGGAGAAATTGGGGTGAATAAATTACGTCAAAGGGGAAGGTAACATTGTAATCAGGCTATGGCTGATGAAGTGATATCGTATGAGTCTGTATCTGTTTCATGTGGAGTTAATGTTCCTCCTGGAAAGGACTGGATAACAATGATATCTGAAGCTTTAGACCTACCAAAGAGAGAGATCATAAGGCTTGATGTTAATCCCATGAACTACCGGAGTTTCACACGGAATTTTGAAGACTGCTTCGATGAAAGCGTTGGATTCCGATGTAGTTTAAACTATTTGATTCAGTACTGTGATGGTGGAGCTAAGACTACTATTGTTCATTATGAATCGCTCGAACCAGAACAAGGCTGACGTAAAGCGTTAGAGCTTCTCGAGGAATCATTCAGTCAGCAGCACATAGTAGCTCATGCATTTATTGCTAACAAGCTAAACATCCCTGCTATTAAGGGGACTGGTTCAGATAATTTAAGAAGGCTGTCTCGTGAGATGCATATTTGTGAGCTAACACTCACGTAGATGAACTATGTATCCGATCTGAATTCTACAGAGTCTATTGAATGTATGTTTTTAAAACTCCCACTATGCTTACAAATAGAATGGGTGGAAGTGGCATATAAAATTCTTAAGACGGGTAGAGAGCCTTTATTTAAGGACCTTTGTGAATTTGTGAAAAAGCAGTCGGATATTGTTAATACCAGATACGGATTACTTGCCAATATAGATCCTTCTAATTGCAACCAAATGCAGCCGGCTATTGTTACTGAAAGAAACCTCGACTCAGAGTATAGAGCGAGAGTATCGTTCGCCAGCACAAGTAAATCTGATGTCCCTCCACACGTAAGACGGGACACTCTTGAGTTGTCATGTTTATTATGTACTGAAAACCACCCTTTAGACCAATGTGGAAAGTTTAGAGATAAGGATATTAATGAAAGGATAGAATTTGTACTAAAGAAGTTGTGTAATGTCTGTCTGAAGACGGACCACATAACAAGAGACTATCGAGTACCGAGGTCATGTACCGTCGAAGGATGTGGCTGGAAACACCATACCTTGCTACACAGGAAGAACAGGGAAACGGCAATAATAATGTCCACATCAATACACAACTCCGCACTGAGGGAGGTGCTAAGCGTGCACAGAGACAAGTGGCCGAAAAAAAATGTTGACGCTAAGCCGAAAACTGAAGCACCATCTGCTAATAGACCTAAATTAACTCAAAGAAAGCCTAAGGAAAAGAAGGTCTCCAAGCCGAAAGTCGAGACGCCGAAAAAGCTAAAAGCCATTGTAACAAAGAAGTTAGTAACTAAAATCCTGGAGAAGCAGGCAGCACATATTCTTTGTGGTGTTGAGAAAGGCGCCTCTGTACGAATTGTGAATAAGAGTAAGGATGCATCTGGTAGCCTTAAAGGAGCTAATGCTAGTCTGAGACAGATTATGTGTAGTTGGGACCAGAATAAGATAGCAAATTCCCTTTTAAAAAGAGGTTGTGAATGGCGCTTTAAACTTTCCAGAGCTAGTCGTCGAGGCAGTGCACGGGGACGCATCATAAAGCCAATAAGAAGAATTGTACGATCACTACTGTTTCAGAAGGTATTGACGGACGAGTCTTTGGAAACGTTTTTAATAGAGGCTGAAGTAATATTAAACAATCGGCCACTCATAAAGCTAGTTAATCACTGTGATAATCTGGTCTGTATGTTTGCGCGTTCCACTTGATGACTACAATTCCTTTAATTATTGTACCAATCTAATTGTTTTTACGTTTAGAAATATAAAGTTTACAGTCAAGTTGTCTTTGTTCTCACTATAGCTTTCACATAGACTATGGGATCACCATTATCGCGTTTACAGTTCTACTAGTATATCTGTAGGACAAATTAAATCCTACAGCTCATACCGGTCGAACGTTGTTGGTTCAACACAGTACTAAGATTGTATCGGTTGCATTTCGATTAGCTGATAAATCATGTGAGAATTAGCCGGGCTTAAAGTCACAACAGGAACTCAGTGGTTTGTTTTACGGTGTCCATATATGATAGTGTCATATAGTCAGCAAATATCACAAAAATTATTTTACCGATTTTATGACCAAACCAAATTTCTACCGTTTTTGTTAGAATCAGAAAAGGCGGCTATTGAACTTGTGTTTAATAATGCCATTGAGAGTCTTTCCGTTGACGATCGAAATCTTCCTCAGGTTCAAATTTTACTGCCAGTTTTACGTCGTGGAATAGGTATACATCATGGTGGACTGTTGCCTATACTCAAGGAAATTGTTGAAGTGTTATTCGCTGAAGGTTTTATAAAAGTAAGTTTTTGTTTTTGTACTAAGTACGCGGTTCTTTTCATTTTATCGTAATGTAAGGGTACTTGTGTTACTAACTGTTATATATTCATTATTGGCTAGTAAACCATCAACGGAAAATTGATGGTATACCATCTGATCCTTTTGTTTTCCCATTATCGTTTTATCTGATGTCCTTGCTAATCACTTCTCATTGGTGGGGTATTATGTATAGGGAGGCTTATGTGTACTGCATGAATATCCAGAGAGTTCAGCTGTGTGGATTTTTTAATTGCTTTACTCACTTGTTTCTCCACTCTTTAACCTTCGTTATTGGTTTGTCTTCTTTGTTCTTGACTGACTGCTACATCTCCTTGCTACCGTCAAAACTTTATAATTGCATGCACATAGATCCTCTAGTTTGTCGCCATTCTCACTCCTCCTAGTCCATGTTCCATAGTAATGCTTCATACCCAGTACTGTCCATCCCAACCTTAACATTCAGTTTCCACACCGGAATGATCAAGTATTTTCCTGGAAATTTCTTTACGATGAACTGCAGTCTCCTATAAAATTGATATTTACCATCTCTGCCATAATTAGTAGGTGCGTATCATTGAATAACATTTATTATATTTTTCTCCTTTCTTCTGAAGGATAATTTAATGATTTTAAAGCCGTCGATTTTTCATCCTAGAAGCACGTTTTTGGAAAGCATCAGTACAACCCCATCGTATGTGTGGCACGTTCCTCTTCGTGATCAGAACATAACAGGACCTTTCCTAAATTTGATCTTTTTTGTCCACATTGTGTTCGATGCGTGTCACTTATTTCTGTCATAGCCAGACTTTATCTTCTCATTTCCACTGTTATTTAAATGCTTTAAACGGTTTCCGACATTGTCTAGACAGTCTGTCTCTATCTTAGATGTTACTCTGATTTTCAGAATGGGTATCGGCTTCGTGACGTCCGAAAAAAATAAGGCGTCAAAACTATTCTACATAAAAATCCTTCAACTCTCAGGGCAGAGTGTAAGTAGTTTCTGGTTAGCGTTTTTCTTTACGGCGTATGGTTGCTGACCTCCTTTATTCAGGCTAGGGACCGGCAGAAGTGGTAGAAGAATATCAGGCAAATTTAAAGTTTGGAGTTAATAGCCCATAGTTACTAATTTTAAGTTTTTTGATGTACTTTTCTGTTTCCGTTAAAAGTAAGTTCTGTCATGTAATATAGGTACTGTACGCTACCGAAACGTTCGCTATGGGTCTTAATATGCCGGCTCGATCTGTGTTATTCACGTCTACTCGGAAGTTCGACGGACGCGACTTCCGTTTACTGTCATCTGGGGAATATATTCAAATGTCAGGACGCGCAGGTCGTCGAGGAAAAGATATACGTGGCACAGTTATAATGATGCTTGATGATCGTATTAGTGCAGATGAAGCCAGAAAACTCTTACTTGGTGAACCTGACCGACTGGATTCTTCATTCTATCTAACGAATAATATGATACTTAATTTACTTCGTGTTGAGGACATCAATCCAGAAATAATGCTCGCTAAAAATTTTCAGCAATTTCAATGCAGGTCTGAATTGCCCTATCTTGAGAAACGTAGGTCTTGACAGTTTCTTTATTTCTGTAGTATAAATTTCCCGTTTTGTTTTTTATCTTACTAATTCTTATGTTCAAACCATTCAGTTTACGACTACAGATAGAAGATAAATAAACAGCGGTTTAAAACTATCCAGCATTTATCATTCTTGCTTCAATGCATTTTATTTAAATTGTATTAGACTACTAAAACAAATAGTAAGTTTTTGCAAATATGATGGTAAAAGCTTTAAATCTATTTTAGAGAAACATGTATTTATTAACTAACCACAGAAAATAAAGTATATAACTAGTTAAAGGTAATTAACAGTAATGTATTGCAGGCTAATTTGCTTATACATATATAAATGCTGCGTCAATAAAATTAAATTATTGATATAAGCAATACTAAATCACAGTGGTCAGGATGAGAGTCAGGCATTCGGCCCAGAGGTCTAATCCACAAGTCAGTAGATCAATGTTAGAAGATGCAGTCCCATGGTAGCTGGTGACCAACATAGGTTCATACACCATTTATTCCCTCAGAATCCTGGAGCCCATATGGACCGTTGGTTTGAAATCAGGCTTCTCCAACTCCCTTAGGTGAACCCTCTGTGTCGACCAACCCTGTTAAAGCACTGCGCTATGTTGAAGCTGTTACGAGTTTACTTAGTCTGCGAAACGGAACAAAGACTTGTTACCAAAGACCAACAAACTAGCTATTCTGTTGCGTCCCAGCCCCGCTAACTAGAGAGAGAAGTCAAAGTACGAATGGAGAAGTATATTTCGCAAAAGGCTAGAAGCACGAGGTATAACAACAAACAAAAATCAAAACGTATATATACAGCACAAAACCGTCCTTGGAAAGCGTTATAAAATATCATTTTCCCAAGTGGGAAATCCGACATGAAGGTGAGAAGAGCGCTTTTGGCGCGAAAACAAAGTAATTCAAATTTTCGAAATAGAATTACAAAATTAGGACCTTTTCCAAGTGAGCTCAAGGGATCTAACGTCCCCAACACACCGGACACTCGCTTTTTGTCCCCTCAACCTTCTTAAAAACAGTGAGTAGGACTTCCCTAACGCGTAGCCATATGGGATCATTTTTAGAAGGAAAGCTGACTCTCCCCACCCTCGGCCGTACGAGGGCATTTGGGGGCTGAATAAAGGATAACAAAGTACTTATTAATAGTAGGCTACTTCGCTATTTTTTTTAAACATTTAGTGAATGATTAACGTCTAATTTTAGTGGCTGTTGGATGGGATAATAGAATTTTAGAACAAAGCTAGGAACGGTTGAACTAAGGTGTATTGTCAGTCTATGCAGCTCTTAACTTTTTACCCGAGTCCTGTTGGTAGGTGCAAACTACCTTGGTAAGGTTTGTATAACTGTTGTAACCAATTGTTGAAGATTTTTAGTGAAATGGGCTAGATTCTTTCACCGTTTGTCTTGCCTTAGAACAGGAGTTTTGAAAATCCTCTTGTGCTTTCCTAATGCATCAGCTATAATGCTTATGACTACTCTTTATCATCACTAATTCTATCAATATCTGTGCTGCTTTGATATCTATTTTTATAGTTCCATCTTGTGATAACGTGGTGTGAAAAAGTAGATCGACAGACGTTTTACAGGTTCTACATTGTTCATGAGTGATAATTACACTATACTCTTCTGTTAAGTCTAACCGTAGCAACGGTAAATGAATTATAGAAAGGTTGGGAGATTAAGTACTGCGTGATATAAACTGATGACCACTATGCACTAATTTCATATATAAGGCTCTGTGAGACGAATGTCACTAAAGTTTACTCACCAGTCAACAAACTTTTATGAATAGTCTTTTTACTAATCTACTTTGTCGTTGTTTGATTGTGGATACTGTATTCAGCAGTTTTTTAACGACATCGTAGGTCCCTGTCTAACATACCACATCTCTTATTAGCACAATCTGAGAATGTTAATTGTCAAAGGGATAAGGACAAACTAAATACAGGTTACATGACTGCAAAACCCTTTGTTTCTGACGGTGGAAGTCCTTTATTTATTTCTCTCGTGCTTCGGTGATGTATTTTCATTTACTTGTTGGTATATCTTGACATTGATGGGTTTTCTGTGTAGAACCTGTCTCCACTAATTGCATACCTGCACTAAATATGGGAGTATTAAAGTTTATTTCAACGACATTGTATATATACTTGTTGTTACTAATGATTTTTAGCTATTGCGTTTATTTAGCGAACGTAATACCAGTTATTGTTATGATGCGGTAGGCTTTAATATTAACATTTAAGTGTTCGTTTTGATAATTCCCACAGTTTTAAATAAGTAGAATAGTTTTGAATCAATTCACAGATTTCAGAAGAGACTTTCAAACTATTTCGTATGACAAACAGCTTCATAACAGTATGACTTTATGACATTAATTTCACATAAGATTTCTGTATAAGGGTTATTGTATTAACTAACTTAAGAGAATGATTAACAACGAATTCACTTTATTACATTTACGCGTCCTCAGAAAAGGTACGGCTGCTTTCAATGTAGCACTCATTTTACATTAGATCTCATTGCGTTTCTAGATAATTCACTTTTTCCAAATATATAGTAGCAGTCCCAAAAATGTCTTGAGCCGTCCAAATAAAAATTTGCTGCGGCGATAATTTACGCAATATTTTGCGTCAACGTGTATGATTATTCGAACTGACTTACTGGTTTCACATTTCAAAATCTTTTATCATTTAGCTTTGCCGTGATTCTTCGCGCTCTCATACCTTAGTTGAGTTTTTTCATATAAACAGTGATCATCGGTCGTGCTTGCATGTGTACTTAGAAAATCAGTTAGAGTGTAATACACTTATTATCTGTGTTAGATATGAAGGAGTAGAGTATATCTTTTAAAAATCAGGAAAATAGAATAGCAGATCAGTCGGTAAAACTGGTTTAATATATCTCATATTTATCAAAATAGAATAACAAACTCTAACTACATTGAACTATTGAGTCAGTGTGAGTACTTTAACATGACATTACGCTTTTTATTTTATGTTGTTGTCTGAACAGTTAGTAATTTTTCTACTTCCGATTGCAACTCCTTATTTTCTTATTTATTATTCGTATATACTACCGAGTTAACTGTCATTACTCACCTAACTGACATTTCTATTGTTCAGTAAGATACATTGAGACCAGTGTTGAATCCTTCGAGTAAATTGATTATTACTGATACTAGTCCGAATTAATGCAATCCTAAGCAAGTTATTTATCATTGAATTAACATGATTCATATGTAAAGTTCAGGATGATTTTGTCTTTTTCACATTTTCTCCTGTTTGATATTCAGGTTTAAATGACACAGAATCTCTTATCAAAAATATTTGTTTTCCGGACGATATTGATATGGAACAGCTTGGCGCTTATGTTAAACTTCATCATGCAGTTGCCGTATGTGAATCTGAGAGGTGGGCATTAGTTTCACAAAGAAAAAGTGTCATACCTTTCTTTCAGGCTGGTAGAGTGGTTCGAGTATGTTTACGATTAAAGTGTTCTAACTTGATTTAAAAGTTCATTTCTTATTCTCTATCGATAAACAAAGGTAAACTATTTGTATTTTGGTTAGATTCGCAATCTGGACGATTGGGACTTCGGATGGGGAATTGTTGTGCACGTAGATCGGTCTGTGCATCAAAAATCCGACAGAATGTCAGTCATTTGTCTTATGGAAGTGGCTGAAGACCGCATCCTAAGAAATTCAGATTATACAAGAAAACCGATTCCTTTTTCGTATGTGAAACCTGCTGATGGTGTTGATTTTCAAACTGATACTTTTACATCGGTTATTCAATTAGTTTCTGTCCCTCTAGATTGTTTGTCTGGTATTTCAAGCGTTTGTCTCAAACTAAATTCATTATTGGAGTGTGACAATCAGAATACTGAAATGTTATTTAACAAGCTTTCAGTTCAACCTGATCATGTAAAACGACGTATTTGGGAAGGTGTTGATCGTGCCAAAGCAAAATTAGGAGGAGTACTACCAGTATTAGATCCTATCAAGGACTTAAATATTAAAGACGATCGTGTGAAACAACAGTGCGAGGTTAGTTTGAACATCAATTCAAACTTTTGGTTGTAATACTAAGGTATCCATTATAATTTGCATAATTTTATTCGAAACAGTTTATGACGCACGATGTATCATAAGTGAGTTTTAAAAATAGATTATTGTTTAAGTTAACGAAGAGTATTTTCGTGATGTATGTGTTGTTTATGCTTGCAGTTGTATTATAGTTCTATGGGTTATGTGTTCTCACTAATGTCATTAAGCACATTATAATTTCAGTTCATTTAACGAATTGTAATAATTTATTTCGAATATACGATAGCAGAGTAAATTGTCACCCTCTAGTTGCTAGACGAATATCTTCCCTGCATCAAAGGGATACAAGTTGGCAAAAGTCAATAAAGGCGAGTAAAAAAGGTGCACATAATAGGTCTAAACATTAATTAGGGTGACCACCAAAAGAGGTAACAAAATCTTTATGGATGTGAAGTTTGTTCGATTTACCCTGTCCCTTTGCCTCTATGATCAATCAAAAAACGTAGTTTTCTAGTCGTCCAATGAAGTCCACTTTAAACAAATATTTTAATTTCTTGAATTTAGTAACAATTTATTGTATCTATCACTCCAGTCAAGTTATCTCATTCATCTGCTTTGAGCAGAAACCGAGAACCGTAGTTTAAATCCATTATTGACTCCTGTCTTTACGTTCATAAGCGATTTTTCTCTACTTCTCCTTTTGCACTCCCCGACCTTCATTGAAGCGATAGTGATTTGTATTCTTCAATCTTAACAACAAATTCTAACTATAAACATTTAGAAGAGTAGTAGTGGTTCAAGTGTTATCAAAACGTGTTCAATATGTCTAAGGGTACACTTTTATCCAAACATCTAAAGTTATAGCACTCTGACAAATCAGTTATCTCTAGCTACAACCGCGACTGGTTACTAGGACTCATTCTTATTAAAAAGAAAATCTCTGCACATATTATTAACTTTAATATCCATATTAAAATAATGACAGCCGATTACGTCATTTTGGGAAGATGTTAAAAATGGTTCATAATTGATGGGGGTGTTGTGAATACTGAATTTATACCATAGCTGTTTTAATGTTGTTCAGGCTAAACAATCCTTACAGACACTTAGTGGCAAAAATTCTGATGATAGCCCACCATAAGCTCCAGCTAGAATAATAACTTTCGAAAAGAAATTCTGTATGAGGTTGGTATACTGTAGTATATTTCCTTCTACAGTTACGTCTGAGCGTTTGGCTTTCTGTGAAACTCATTTTCCTTTTAGCCACAGTCAGTGGGATTATAGGCAGAGATAACAACGTGTATCCTTACCCTTCCTTGTTCTTACTGTCCCGTCTAGTCATACTGCTCATAAGCGACTGTATATCGGAATCTAGACCAGGAGAACCTATTATGTTTTGGAACTCTATGATATACACCAAACGCTAGCAAGGTCAATAGAAGTACCGGTCGAGTCTCCAGACACACAAATAGTAGATCATGGCCTTTCTTCATTTTGACTAGGTGGGGTCAAGTGAATGACTACCATTGAATCCTGCATGTGGGTTTCAAAGACAGCGCGATATTCTGTAGTTCTAGCTAATGAAATCTGTTTTGACGTAAGGTTGTAACGTTGAAAGCCCAACATGCGCTTTTAAGAGGCTAGGAATAGCATTTCGTGAACTCGAGTCGTTAGCATTAGTGGTGGGTGTGGATAAAATCATAAGAGAATAGGTGGAATAAATATTATGTAGTGACAAAGGGATTCGAAAATGAACAAGAGAATCTCGAGTGTTGTTCGAGATGTGTGGACAGTTGTCATTTCGTTCTTCTAAAGGCCTCACTGACGGGGATGAAAACCTATGAGATAAGAAAAGGTATGACGTTTTTAGAGTCGATTCATTCTAACTACTTCCGTTGTTTGGATGCGGCATCACTGCAAACACTCATTGTATGAGAGGAAAACCCGTCATAACCCAGTACAGTCATAAGTACTACTTCGTTCTCGGACTCTAAATTCCTGTTTTAGTCGTAACATTTGCGACCGACTTGCCTAAAATGTTAAAATCAATTGTTTCAGCCTATGTAGCTCGACGGGGTTGTCATGTAGGCACGCCTCGGCTACGATATCAGTGTAACAGATATGGGCTTATTTTAAGATCAAGATGTACAGCTGTAATTGGACGTTAGTAAGTATGCTTGCGTTCTGAAATCTGGCGATGATCAAATATTTGATCTGAATATCCAAATTCAGGTCTAAAACCAGCCTAGTTTTCCTGATTTGCTCTTCACAAGCTCTGATGAAGTGTCGGATGATTTTAGTGATTAGTAATTTAAATACGTAGTCAAACTGTTTCTTGGTGTATTACAAGACGATTTTTGTCTCTTCTTATAAACTGGAACGGCCAGCCCTCAGGTTTAATCAGGAGTTACTGAGAGCCCAGAAACTCTTAATAGTATTTGTCAGCTTAGCTGCCCAAACTAGACCTCTATCCTTAAAGATCTCAGAGGTTAATACATCAGGGCCTCCTACTTACGCTCACTTTAGATTAACTTTAGTCTTTTTAACTCCACTAAAAGTTCAGGGACTTGGGGATATATTTGCTTTTAATGTTTTTGTGAGATAGTGGGTAGCTGGAATATAAGTGCTGCCAAGTCGAAATGTCCTTTGAAATATTCTGCCCGTGAGTATGATCTCCTAGACTGAGAGTGAATAAAGGTTCCATCTCTCTCCGACATAGTCTCACTGACAAGTATGTTTTAATTAACGAGTCGGAAAAGTTGTCTACTGTCATCTTTCTTAAGCAGTGCATGTTTTTCGCTGAAAATGTTGGGTTGGACCAGTAGAATGAATATTTCCGCAATTATAGTAAATTTCGCCTCGTAGTCCGCAGATGTCGATATGTATATGCTTTTGTCTTGAACTGTATTCCATATTTATTAAGTGCAGAGACAGCTGTACGAGGCAACATTAATTAGTAGTCGGTAAAAACAATAAATTCACCCATAGTATTTTCTGTTATTATCACTTCATACAATATTAGCTTCAATCAACTGACTAGTTAAATTGTTTCTCAGCTCAAGAAATATTTTGCAGTGAAAATCGTCGAAAAATTTCTCGTCACTTTGGTTTTAGTCCCAATGTAGTAAATCACAGTGTGGTGTTAACTTGCTTTAGGACTTAGTCTATTCTGTTAACCATTTACGTTGCGCGGGAAGACTGTCTTATTGTTAGTTTAGTTTACATATATTGCCATGATTAAGTTTTTTTCAACACTTAATTATATTTACACATTTAGAAACATTTAAAGTATTAAATGTCGTCTAGTTGATATTACATAACGAGTTCAAAAGACTTAAATGTTATGTAAAGAAAATCTTCAGCGCATGATTTGCTTGGTGCAATATAACTTCAAGCATGTACTTAAATAATTATTTACTCAGGTAAAAAAAGGAACCTTATTTTTTTTCATTATAGACGATTAATTTATTGAAAGCACGAATGGCCATGAATCCGATCTCAAAACGCGCTGATCTAGACAGTCTTATTGATCGTTTTAATTGGAAAGCTACTGTAAGTGTTTCAAATATTTTTCGTTTTTTATTTTATTTTAAAAATTAGAGTAAATATTCTCCACACTGCAATCATGGTCGTGATTAATTTTCAAGGATGTAATATAGGTTTGTAGCGTCGTATTTTATTTCCTTGGATGATTTAGTGTATCATAATTAGTGTTATCTCTTAGTTGAACGTCTACTGTGTTTTGCTGGTATCATTTAAATCCGAAAACCTAACGTTATCATATTTCTATCATTTGATTAGCAGACAACTATCAAAATAAGAAACAATCTTTTCTTCATAGCTGACCTCTGTTAATTAATGCCTTGATGAGAACATAGATACTGCTAAGAAAGACTCAAGTTAATATGAAGCAAAATCTTTCCTATCCAAATGTTATTTGTTACTAATTATTTACAGTAGATATACTTTTTTTGAGTGAGATCTGAAGATTGTAAAACTATTCAGCAATAATGGATTGTACGAAATTTTTATTGTCGAACTTTTAATACAAGCTTGTTAATCAGTTTCTCTTAGCTTGTTGACTTATTCTCAAAATGCCTTGAATGCTATTTAGTTAGTAGTAGGATGTAATAATCATCTCTGCACACAACATCATCTGTGTTTTTCAGATAATGTTTTAAGAATTGTCTAGCGTTTGATTCTGTAATTATGTAATACATTTTCATTTTACTCTGCATTTCTTCACTTTAAGGAATATTTTAATCACTTTATAATCAAATATTAAAGTATCCATATATTACATCCCTTGTGCATTTATTTTAATTACAGAATTTGAGGAAACTCGAAGACATTCGTGAACGTATAAACAGAACAGATTCACTTTCACATTTTGACGAGTTGCGTGCAAGGAAAAGACTTTTGCGAAGACTTTGTTTTTGTTCAGAGGATGATACAATTGCATTAAAAGGTCGTATCGCCTGTGAAATTTCAACTAGTGATGAATTGGTACTGACTGAGTTACTGCTGGATGGGTTCTTTTCACAATTCTCACCAGTTCAACTAGCAGGTGTCATGTCATGTTTTGTAGCAGAAAAACAAACAAAACATCACAAGATAAATCTGAGTCCTGCCATGAAGAGGGCTATAAAAAGTATCCACGTACGTTTTTCATTGCTATTAATGATAAACTCACCAGTATTCACCAATTGAGACTTAGCAGACGTAAGCTCAGATTAGTTGATGGGTTTATTTATGTGGTCACATAAATTTTGGTACAAAACGGCACCGATTACCTGTGCACCACACAAGTCACTTGATGTGTGTGAGCTGGGATGCTGATCGGATGCCCAGACCGATGTAGATAGCTTTCTTAAGAGGCCACACCCTGAGCCTTTGACATAAAGGTCTGGTCTACAAGGCAGTGGAGCAACTTTTGGAGATGCAGTCCCATGGTATCCGGTGACCAACAATGGGTTCATACGCCTTTTGTTTCTTCAGGATACTGGAGCCCATGTGCGCCACTGGTTCGGAATCAGGGTTTTCCAACTCCCCTAGGTGAACTCTCCATGTCCACCGGCCCGGTTAAAGTGCTGGACATTCTCTTTTCGTCTTTTCAATTTCGTAAACAACACCCTCGCCGCGAGAAGGCAATGAGTAGGACTTTCCTGGCAGTTATGGATGTGTCCTCAATCAATCACATACAATCAATATATTTTGTACGGCTGCGAAACACGGCCACTAAGAGTTGAAGACGCTCGTAAGCTACTAGTATTTGACCACAGATGCCTTAGAAATATTGCTGGCGTCTGCTGGGATCACCGGATAAGTAATAGTGAGGTTAGACGCAGGGTATTATAGAATGATGGTAAATCAGTTGATCAGCTTGTGAATCTTCATCGACTGAGATGGATGGGCCACGTGTTACGTATGCCCGAACACCGATTACCACGACGTGCAATGCTAACCGGTGTTGGAGATGGTTGGAAGAAAGTTAGGGGCGGCCAAACCAAAACGTGGCATCAGTGCTTGAAGTCACTAACTTCTAGTCTGAGCCATGTTGGGAGATGCAGACTACTTGGTTGGGGTCCGTGTGACTATCGTAACCAATGGTTGGAGACTCTTGGTGACATGGCTCAGAATCGATCACAATGGCGTCGGTGTATACACTCTCTGTCTGCTCTTAAACTAAGAGATTAAAATCACTTCATATCTTTCTTTCTACTAACTAATTCTTTCTTCGTGTACTATATCCTTATTGCAATCTTTCTTTTATATATTACCACCTTTGAATGAACTACTTTTATGAATCCGGTGTCCATCTTGTTGTGTTAATGAGGTATGGCAACTTGGACCGATGCATATATGTGCCCGGTCCTACGTTGTAGCTGACTGAATGACTATATTTTGTAAGCCAAATTAGATGGAGATATCAAATAAATTATTGCTCCTGGAATTTCAGGAATCGCTTTTCCATCAGTATTCACCATAAAACCGTTTTTATTACTTATACAGGAACTCGACTAATGCAGTGTAGCTTTTGAGAAATATGACTTACACTTTATGAGGTTCGAGGCTGCTTGGTTGTGCACATCCCAGAAAGGAGGTGCTGTAACAATAAAAACTAGATTAGGAATTTCCGGGGCCACAACTGATATGATTTGATAACTCGAAGTGATGTTAGTCTTCGGACATTTGGTGAATCTCTGTCATGTCAATAGGTATTAACGAACATTTACTTTTGATGACTTCAGCTTCCCTACTGTTTGTCACCTTTCCCACTTCAAATTTTGTCAGTACTTTTAGTAACATAATCTTGCATATTATGAATCTTTAAAGGATAAAGCAAGATATCTTGCAAAAATGTCTGCCGAATGTAATATTAACACGGATCATAGTAATAATGAGAAACAACCAACGACTTTGGTTGAGAATCTTGAAAATAATAGAAATAGTCTTTTGGATGACGAGCAAGCTTATGTTAATCGTTTTGTCGGTGATTTAATGGATGTTGTATGTGCTTGGGCTGAAGGTGTCAGTTTTTCTCGACTTTGTGAATTGACAAGTGCATTCGAAGGTAGTGTAATTAGATGCATCAGAAGACTGGAAGAACTACTATGTCAAATGCATAATGCAGCCAAAGTTGCAGGAAATTCGGAGTTGGAAAATAAGTTTTTAGAAGGTATGTTTCTACCTTCTTTTGTGATGTACGTTTGATAGCACATGTTTTACAATTTAAAATCCAAGTAAAATGCTGGAGTTAATGATAATAACATGTAAGCTATAATGATCGTAAATTACACTTATCTAAGTTGGTAATACTATATATTTTTCAAAATGTATGTATAATTTTAGTCATTTTCTTATTTCGTCAAGCAGTCAATATTTCAGAAAACAACATAACATAAAATCATTTCTAACTAGTGTTAGTTTCATAGGCGAATTATTCACCTTCATACAATTTCACTGATCGTTTTTAGAGTGAATGTAGTCTATTTATAAATGTCTCATGAACAAAGTAATATAAACAGTGCTCATAACAGTGAAAATATTTAACGTAAAATATTGTGAACCGCTTTTAATTTGTTAAGATGTACAGTATTGCTGGACACGTTTGTGTTTTTTCCTAGGCTTATATACATATATATATATATATAAACTTTTTTTTCTTCCAGCCGTAATCCTAATCAAAAGAGATATCATTTTCTGTGCAAGCCTATATCTTTAACAGTTATCGAAAAAAAGTGTACAAATCTTGATAATAAAAAAAGATTCAGTATTTTCGATGACTTTGGTCTTCTATACCTTATTGGACTGGTAATGAGGTTCATCGTAAAACTAAATTCAATATCTTTGTTCCAGAGGCATAATGTATATTTGCCAGGATTAAATAACACCAATGAAGGAAAATATTTTCATCATGCATTAAACCTCAAACTTAATTGTCCTATTATATTTTTGATAATCTCCTCTTAAAACAAAAATGATACAAACCGGAACTATCAGAGGTAAAAATTACTAACTAATGAAACAAAGATGTATGATGTCAGCTGTGAGCTTGCTAAGCAGATATACTTATTTTTAAACTTTAAGTGATGTAAGCGATAATCCTCATCCGTCTCTGACAGAAAATGATTAGATTTACCAATATTTTGATAATTAAGTTACTAAATTGGAAGAGACCGATGTATATTCAGTATATTCGATTACAGGACTGATCAAGATAACAAAAGACTAACGACTTTTCCAAACTCAGATTATGTTTGTTCAGGCGAGTGCTAGGAAATTTTTAATGTGAGTAACTTTCAAGACGGGACGATAAATAACCTTAACAAACTCATTGTCGTAACTACGCCTTGTTAAGGGTAAGTAATTAGTCGTCATTTTATGACTTTTCGTTCTTAATTATTCATTTATTAACTGGACGTTATAAGTTTAACTTTTTTTGCCCGATTCGCGGGAATCCAGAGGTGCTGACTTCCACAAAACCAGCAATAGGAAGTATAAAATAAACTTTATTGCCAAGATTAACTTGTCTACAAAAAATATATTGTGAGAAATGATCTCTGAGTACCAGACTCACAGAAAGAAATCATATTATCAAATAAATTCGATGCAATAGCAATCGAACTTAGTAGTAACAGTTAGTTGTCTTCTAAATCCGTAATGATTCTTTAGGATCGATTTCTCATTACCATCCATCAATGTCAGTGATATTTTAAACTATTTCTGAGCCAGATTTTAACGTCGAATCACTTAATTCACTAACCAGGATCAGCAGTGGAAAGTATAAAAGATGTTTATAAATCAGTTTATTTTCTTATTTTACGATGACCGCAGTTACAATAGTGTATCATCGTGCTCCATTTGTAAAGCGTGGTGTGGGGATATGTTATACATGATAACACTTAAAACTCATATAAATCCGAAAATCTGCTTGAATTTTTCTCTGTCTAATATTTCCGATCTCACTCTAGTTAGAAGAAAGGTTCTTCCAATACCCAAAGGTTTTGTGGAATTGTGATTTGCATTAATTATCCCAATAAGAACATAACTTTTTTTCCCGGTGTTTCGTTAAGATCCGATGGTGGAACTATTTGACCTGAATTCAAAATTGTATTTTGACGTCTTCCCCAAAATGTTAAATGTCCGATGCGTACTAGACCAGACTCTCTGTGAATACTAACCTGAAATACAAACGGCGAGAAAGCAATTACAGGGAATCTAAAAGTTATAGTGACCACTCAAATTTTTAATTACAGACCGTATAGACCTACTGACAACTATTACAAAGAACTAGTAACGCATATATTTCTTGTAAATTAGGTTTTCGTCATAGTGATTTATGAAGATCAGATGCTCACTATAATGAAAAACCTGACGTAACGAAACAAAACATCTTAAATCTCCAGCCGAAAACCGATTTCTGATCACGCATAACACGAAAAGTATGTGTAGAAACTCGTCGTAAATCCCTCTCATTTGAAGATAAATATGTTGACTGACGGTCACTATAAACTTGGATGTGATGAATCTTGGGTTGTCCTTATGAATTAACCGCTATATGAAACAATAAGAATTGTCAGTATAGTATGACTTAACTCGAAGAACTGAAAAGATTTTGTACAAGAGGAATCTTATATATAATATAAAATATGATTAACTTACGACTCCCACAATTTTTATGCTGAGCCAACTGAAAATAATCAGACTGCACAGAGAAAACGCCGCACAACCCAGAAATGTATAAACTAATGAGGAAGAAACTTGATCATGTAGGTATTTGTATATAGCTACTGGACAGCCAGAAATTAATGAGCCAGTTAATATAATTTTAAGTTGTGAGATCGCCTAGGAAAATAATTGTAAGTTAAATTATTAATACATCGTCTAGTTACCAACAATTTAAATACTGCTAATTTCTCATGAAAATAATTGAAACATGTGTGTCTTTTGGATGTCTACTGGCAGGTTTTAAGACAAGGAATAAGTTCCAGTTTGCAAACACTGGCCAATACTTGTTATTGTAGCAATTGTGTCTTAAACGACATTTATTATGTTCCGTAATAATACCGCAACTGATATGGATTAAATTGTAAAAATGTTGAGTAGAGGTAGGGTGTGTTGGGCTATTTCATAGTCATAATGACATTGGGTCTACAATGTAAAAGAAAGTTTGGACATATATCGATTGAATGAAGACCTCAAGCTTTTTTGTAATGGAATGACATCTAGTGGTGGAGAAATTTTTCAAAACCTACGATCAAATTCAATCGACTAATCCATACATTTTCAGTATGCCCACTTATGCAGTGTGAGATTTTTTTAACTGTTCCCACACCATTAATTATCGACAGATTCCTGTCTTAAGAAATCCTGCGACTATTGAAAAACGGCAAGGGTTTAAAAATATCCATGATTTTGCTTGTGGCAGAACCACAGTAAACCACTTTAGCACAAACATGAACCACCTAAAATCTATCAGCACAATCGCCCTCGAATATGCTTCGGATGAAACACGTAAGGAGGTCTGATTACATGTTGCCAATCCTTGAAGAACTGGTTAACTGTGTTGGACTACATGCTTAATATATATATATATTTCGTGTTAGTGACTTACTAATTTTTAGAAGACAAATAATTGGAAACAGACCTGGATAAAAATTATGGAACGGAAACGATATATGGGTACCCAAGATTCTTTTTTATCACCAAATAATTCTGTTTTGTTTCCCGAATGTAACAAACGAGTTTGCAAGCTTGAATATTTCGGAAGTCTTAGGGAGAATAATGATGATTGCGTAAGCAGATAGGAATACGAATGGAATTTGTGAAGTCCGCCAAACATCGGTATTTTCATTTTGGATAAGCTAAATACAAAGCACAGGTTCATTGCAACAGATGTTTCTTATATAATAATGCATTGTATGTAGTCTAATTCAAGATGAGAAAAGGTCTAATTAAACTATCAAAAGTAAAACGTGCCCGTAGATTTGATATCTCACACCAGAAATATAGTGCAATAAATGCGCATACCTGGTCAATTAATTTGCTGGTCATCTTATGTTTGTTACAAAGGGAATGCGGTTATTTAACGTGAATTCAAAACTAACAGTAAGTTGAATGATAATTATTTGAATAATTTATGGATAGAGATATTTTTAACAAATACAGATAAGAAAGAAATATTAGTTCAGCGAAGAGTTCTCTTTTCGGCGAATTCATTTTCAAAGCTGTACAATCGCAAATATATATACTTATTTTTACAGGGTGATAATAAACTTATGTTATACATGGTGACGGTGAGGTTAAATAAACAAAGGTATTAGAAAATTTTTCTTTTTAAACAAGGAAAGTTTGATAGTTAATGGCTTAGATATTCATCGGGTAAGAGTAGCTCAACATGATAAAATAACATAAAATGTTGAAACAGAGATGAAATGTAATCGGAATGATCGTGGACATAAAAACAAACCGGTTGGGGGTACAAGATTTGAAGGGAAGATGGAAGGTGAAGCAGGTGGTTGTAAAAGAACAAGAGTATGAAGAAAGAGAAAAATTTTATTAATACCTTAAGACCATGGTAAAAGAAGAGGTTGTACCAGTCTCTTTTGTACACATAATTCTGGTTTTTCAAAATGTATGGCTATTGCCCCGGCGATGCAAAGAAGATGCAGTCTAATTGTCTTAGGAAGGCTTCTACTTACCTTGTAGATGACTTTGAACGCAGAGTCTGTCTTGATTGAGTGACCTGTGTTCATAAGGTGTTCGATTATAGAACTTCTTATTGAGCCGCTGCCTCCTCTTCTTAGCCAAGCCGGACAATGTTCTTGAATTCTTTTGGATAAAGTACGCATCGAACGACCTATATACCTAGCTCCACAAGGGCAGGTAAATTGGTAAATGCACATTGAGTTGGTCAAATGCGATAACTTATCTTTCAGATTATTGGTGAACAGTGATCGGCTGAAAGATAAATTATCGCATCTGACCAACTCAATGTGCATTTACCATTTACCTGCCCTTGTGGAGCTAGGTATATAGGTCGTTCGATGCGTACTTTATCCAAAAGAATTCAAGAACATTGTCCGGCTTGGCTTATTTCTATAGTGCAGTACCTATTAGATACAAAAGGAACTTGATAAAGATCCTGACTCATCGTGCTGGAATGGTTTGTTCGGATGACACTATTGTACATGAATTGGTAAATATTCGTAACTTACTTAGTAGGAATGGGTACCAATGAAAACACATGAAGGAGATGAAGAGAAGGACAAAGCTGCCTACCGTTCCGAAGGAAGTATTGTACTTAAAATTACAATTCCCAAATGATACTACTGAAGAAATTGTGACTCAGAGATTGAGAAAAGCAGTACAAAAAACATTTAATGCAGTCAGACTGAGTGCTATCTTCTACAACCGCCCCACAATAAGAACATCCAATAAAGACAGATTGCCTGAATTCGCCAAATCTATGTGTACTTATCGATTAAACTGGTCCTGTGGAGCCAGTTATATGGGGCGTACAATTCGGCAAGTTCGTCATCGTATAACAGCGTACCATCCATCGTGGTTGAGCAAAGAACAGGTAAGAGTGATTAAGAGTTCTATTCTCGCCCACTTGGTTGACACAGGTCATCAAGTTGAACTGAATAAAGCTTTTAAGGTTATCTACCATATTCCATCGAATATGTCACATGGTTTACGAGTGCGTCTTTTGCACATTGCTGAAGCCATTGCAATCCATGTTCACAAACCTAACCTTTGCATCCAAAAGAAGTTTGTACAACTACTTTCGCTACCTTGGCCATCGGTATAGGGGAGTTTGTAGCAGAACATTGATAAACTACTTTCTTCTTCCATTTTTTTGAACTTTGTATTTTAATCATTCTCAACATTGGTCTCTTGATTCTTGCATAACTACTACTCTACTGACCACTCATCAAAATATCCTGTTCCTTCTCTTTTTTTATATACTATGTAACGTAGCAACTTCTTGATTTTCGAATAATTACTTTGACTATTATTAATCCTCCTTTCAATTACTCAATGTTAATTTATAATCGAATTGTCATTATGTAATTTTTACTTAACGTATCCACTCGACGAGTATTATTTCATTATTGTAAATCATATATATACATCCCAATGACAGGTTCCTTTTAGTAATTATCCATTGATAATATGCTAGTTCAATTGTCCAGTCATTTCAAACACTTGATAATCATGGATGCTTGGGTGAGTAAACCACACTTAAGTGTTGGTTAACGGGAATGATTATTTTGTTAGTATGGAATAGAGACAATCCTTATTACAATGATTGTGTCATGTGATTTTGTGTGAACACAAATCTTCAAGGCGCGCATGTTAGTTACCTTACCAACTAAACCGCTCACACAGGCTGCCATCAATCGAAATGACAGTTGCCCCCCCTCCACTAACTGGATTATATTCATAAATCTTTGAACGGAAGTACAACGACTATGCATGTACGTCACATTTAACATTAACGTGATTACTTATTCCTAATTTACACATTCATTTAAAACATAGTATCCTCAAAAACAACTCAACTTCAATACATGCATGTGACTTGACAAGTATGACGGTTTATGTCATACATAAGTTCATTTTGAAAACAGTTATGAGAAGATATACAACGAGTAATATGGGAAAGAAGATATGGTACCATAGAGAAATATGAATTTAACTAATCGTAAATACTATAATCAATAATGGTGATTTTTTGTTAGCGAATGAACAAGGGTTAACGTCAACTAGATGTGGGGAAAATGGAAATTAATTACATCTTGTTCAAATTATTGGAACTATAATTTTGCACTTATTTCACAAATGCATAAACCTAAATAAGTAGACATTACGATATATTTTGATAACGATTTTATATATGTGGTAAAATAATATGAATTACTAACAATTTTGAAAAGAGGTAGACAGTGAACTCAGCGCCTCGAAACAAGCAATCTGATAAAACATTGTTACTGTGAAGAAAATAAACAATTTAGATCAATGAGGCCATGATATCTAATTTTATTGTACAGCGATTGACATGGAGAATTCCTGTCAATAGTCTGAATTTTCTGCAGACACTATATTGCAAAATAGAGGAAAGTGGCAATAGTGAATTTCCGCTAACAAACTTTTGAAAAACATGAATATCAAGTGATAGACATAAAGGCATCGGCAAATAATGAGTGATATCGTAAAACGAACCAACTTGACCAATGCAACGAACCCACATTTGCATACATACATCAGTTCTGGTGAGAAAACCAAAAGTAAATGATTTCTTGATTAGTATTATTATTGCATAAAAACATTCAATATCAAACGTGCATAAATAAATAAAGGGCATCACAGTTGATAATCTCAAAAACCATACTATGTTCTGAGGAATGCATTTTAAAAAGTCCGGAAATTAAATAAATTTCTTTTTGAAAGTAGTGGCACTATCTCTGTATAAATGAAGTTTGAATAGACATACATAAATATATCAAGTTAAGCTAGGACCAAAATAGACACACAAAACGAAACGGCATAAATAAAAATCCACTTTTTTGAAATAAAGTATATCAGCTGCATCTTGAGGAAAATTACAATTAGGAAGGTCATGGAAAATCTACCAAGAAAAATTTCCCAAAAGAAGCGCCAGATATCTGCTAGAACTATAAAAAATATATTTGAGTATCCAAATCCTCAGGATATGTAGTCTAAAAAAAATTCGGTGAACAGTGATCAGTAATATTTAAACGAAGAAAAAATGCGTATATATATAGTTTGTAAATCTTAATTTTACTATATACTGGGATTATTGTACTTCATTACTGTACTGCAAATTAAATTTAGGGAATATTCTATATATTCCGAACCTTCCAGGACTAGATTACTTGATACCTTTAATAGTGTCAACTGAAACAGCTCAAATGACAAAAAACTGCATCTGTTTTGATGAGTTTGCTTTGAATATAATAAAATTTGCGGCAGTAAAAAGGTGTCTAGTTATCCAGGATGTGGTAATCCGTGAATTTCCTGGAGATTTTATACGGGATATTTGGTTTGTGAGAAATAATTTTTCAAAGCACGACAGCCAATACCTATTTCAGTAAGGCTAAAACCACAACTGAGGCAAAATAATTTGAATGCATTTTATTTCGTGGTTTATCTTCAACTGCTTACAACCGTGTTCGTATTAAAATATAACAATGAGATATGATATACTATGTGTAAAAATACCTACTTTTAACTGAATTATAACAGAATAACAGTAGCAGCAATGACAGTTAAAACATGCGTTTAGATATTTTCATTCATTTACCAAGCACAAATTTATGTATTCAGTTTTGAGCCATCATGTGCTGCTACCCGGCTATTCCAACCGAGGTATGTGGAGTATGAATTAATAGCTTACAAATGTTAAAATGCTAATATTTTAACCTCTTTAATCACAAAACGATATGACAATATAAATGATCAGTGGATAAATATTTAGAAAATGGAGCTAACAATTAAGAGAAAAACGAACTAGTTAATTCCATTAAACTTTCTTAAACTAAAACATTGATTTCGACCAGAATAAAGTACAGCATTCGTAAAATGTGACTAACCTAATAAGAATTTTGGAATGCTAATAATAATAGTCATCTGATCCGATTCACTTTCTTATCAGAAATAGAAAGAAACAAATTACTGAGTGTGTGATATGGAATCACTGAAATATTAAGGTGACGACAGAGCTCCGCCTGGAGTCCCTCCGGGGGCTACTGCCGGTCCCAAGCCCGGATGAAGGAGGAGGGTTGGGCATGGGGTTCGCGTCCCCATCCCGTAGAAAACTAACTCGCTAAAAAATTATTCAAGTCTTCAACAGGGTATTGTTAAACTGGATGAAGGACTGCGTAGACGCCCAACTTCGAGACCAACAGGCAGGATTCCGCAAGGATCGATAGTGTACAGACCAAATCGCAACTCTACGGATCATTGTGGAACAATCAATTGAATGGAATTCATCACTCTTAATCAACTTCATTGACTACGAGAAAGGCTTTGACAGCGTGGACAGAACAACACTATGGAAACTTCTTCGATACTACGGCGTGCCTCAGAAGATAGTCAATATCATACAGAGTTCTTATGATGGATTAAACTGGAAAATCGTGCAGGGAGGACAGTTGACAAAGTCGTTCGAAGTAAAGACCGATATCAGGCAAGGTTGCTTACTCTCACCCTTTCTCTTTCTCCTGGTGATCGACTGGATCATGAAGACATCAACATCTGAAGGGAAGCACGGGATACAGTGGACGTCTAGGATGCAGTTGGACGATCTGGACTTCGCAGATGATCTGGCCCTTCTATCCCAAACGCAACAACAGATGCAGGGAAAGACGACCAGTGTGGCAGCAGCCTCAGCAACAGTAGGTCTCAATATACACAAAGGGAAAAGCAAGATTCTCCGATACAACACAGCATGCACCAATCCAATCAAAATCGACGGAGAAGATTTGGAAGATGTAAAAACCTTTACATATTTGGGCAGCATCATTGATGAACAGGGTGGATCTGATGCAGATGTGAAGGTATGGATCGGTAAAGCAAGAACAGCATATTTACAATTGAGGAACATCTGGAATTCAAAGCAACTGTCAACCAACACCAAGGTCAGGATTTTCAATACAAATGTCAAGACAGTTCTACTGTATGGGGCAGAAACCTGGAGAACTACGAAAGCCATCATCCAGAAAATACAGGTGTTTATTAACAGTTGTCTACGCAAAATACTTCAGATCCGTTGGCCGGACACTATTAGCAACAACGTACTGTGGGAGAGAACAAACCAGATCCCAGCGGAGGAAGAAGCGCTGGAAGTGGATAGGACACACATTGAGGAAAGCACCCAACTGCGTCACAAGACAAGCCCTCACATGGAATCCTGAAGGCCAAAGGAGAAGAGGAAGACCAAAGAACACATTACGCCGAGAAATGGAAATAGACATGAGAAAAATGAACAAGAATTGGATGGAACTAGAAAAGAAGGCTCAGGACAGAGTGGGTTGGAGAATGCTGGTCAGCGGCCTATGCTCCATTGGGAGTAACAGGCGTAAGTAAGTAACAGAAAAGCAGTATTGGCAAAGTGGCACGAAACCAATGGGTTTGATAATAAACGGTATTTCTGTGATTTACGTCTTGATACGTAGTTACATTCGACACCGAATATCTTGATAAAATAACTAGTTATAGTTGTCAATTCAAAGAACTACAATGATGTTTTGAAGGAAATTTCACGAAGTGTTACATTTTCAACATTAGGTTGTCAAAAGAAGATCTAAAAATCCTTTTAGAATATAAAAGGACGCAGCCAAAATATGTTAAAACCACATTCAGAACTACACCATCCTCCGGATAACACGTAATACGACTATTAATGTGATTTAAATTATGAGTGTCAAAATGTGATGGAAACACAGTATTGAAATATCTATACTATACAATACAAAAACCATCAAGTACATGTTTGCCTGAATCACCTATGTGTTTAAAGAATAAATACAACAAAAATTCAGGAAGATAGAATCCTAGGTGTGAACGAGTATAAAAACGTTAACATCGAGTGTCCTATCATAACAAAAAGTGAATAGTTGGTCGCGTCTTTGTCGTATAATTAATCACAGTTCTTAAAAAATTAATATAGTCCATAAAAAGATTTATTCTTTACATTCATCCTCAAACGTAACTGTTAAGTGATACAGCTGATTGCTTCAAATTTTCATTAGCCAGTTTTCTCAAAATATCTGCTACGATTGAAGAGATATTGTTCAGAACCAATTGGGCATTTATGATAATGTAATTAAAACATATGTGGTTTATCAATTAGTATGGAATTGATTTTCTGACACTTTATTGCTTAGTGCAGGTTGTGATATGAACAGAGAACAAGAAGCCTAGACAAACTACGGAAGGTAATTTTGGGGGACGTTATTTCATTTAATTCAAAGCTTGTAAAACAGTAACATTTAATTTTGTTCCTATTTTATTCTAGAGACCATAAGCTTTCTTTGGATGTATGATTCACTGCCATAGCCTTCTCTGTTCCAAAGTTATTATAATTTAAACGTAATCTTTTGAAGATCTAATTGAAAACAATTGTTCGCTTACATGTGTTGTTCTAATTACTGGAAATACTGTTCTTGCTCCAATTAAAATTCAGACAACTCACATACATTTGATAACATTCCTCTGAAATTCATAAATAGACGGTAAGTCGATGGTACAGTGTGACCTATTGTAGCCTTGGTAGAAAAAAAGCCTGTTTAAATCACCTTACCATTCAGAGGTGATTCAAATAACCTTTTATTGAAACAAAGGCTTAAATCAGTCATCAACAAAACGTATTGCGCAGCAAAGGTCACTACCAAAGAAAGAACAAAGTGCATGCTTCATCCAAAACCTTAAAGACATGAAAAAGATTGTGTCACATTCCACTGTTAACCAATTTAAATGTGTATGTGGTCACACATACATAGGGCGGAGCAATCGTGATCTCAAAATTAGGGTGTGTGAACATCTACCAAAATGGTTGCGGAAACAACTACAACCAAGTGACCCAATAAGAGCAGAGGATAAACATCCATCATCCTCTATTACTAAACATATAATCGAAACAGGCCATAAGATTGATCATAACTCGGCTTTTGTGGTGTTGTATAAAAGTGTAAAAGGGCGTATACTGAGGGTTATTGAAGCGTTAGCCATACGAAAATTCAACCCCCCTTTGCGTATTCAAAAACAGTTTGTTCCCACCTTAAACCTACCCTAATAATGGCTTATTAGCCAGAGTGATTAGGTTTCAAATTGTGTTCACATTATTATTATTACTCTTATTATTACCCTTATCTCCTCTTACCCCATTTCCAGTCTAGTTGATCATTTATTATTACATATAAATGTTCTTAACAAGTATGTGTGATCAGATTGTTCGATTTGTATTGCGCTAATATATCACATAGTTCTGATAATCTTCGTCTTATTATTACTTTATTACATAGTACGCATAGGTTCTTATTTGAACAGATACCTAAAGTTTCCATTAACCAAGCTTTCTTATCTTAGGCAAGTTATACCGAGATGTAAACATTGTGTCAGTCTGTAACAATTATGATCCAACAACTATTCTACTTACGGTGAATACGTCATCTTCGTTAAACAAACTAGATGACCAAATTGAACGAGTGTTAATTTTTAGAGACTTTAGGTGGTATATCTCAGAATCGCTTATCGTAGTGCAGACGCATTTACTCTTCATCTTCCTCTAGATCTTGAATCTCATTACCGTTCCAATTATACGTTTTCGCTCAAACTTCCCAAACTTACTCAATATTTATTTCTATTTATTTATCATTGCTATTACATCATTTGGACTTGTTTTTTATTTTCATTTTTTTCTGCTAATGAGGTTTTGAAAATCGGGCCAACGTACAGGCTCTATGTTGACGATGTCTGTATGCTTACTCTGAATAAGACTGACCATATGCTCAAAAGTAAACAATCCGAAGTGCAATTACTATTGATAATTACAAAATGTAACAATAACTCTTAAAGAAATAATTTCTGATGATTTTGGAAGCAATGTTTCATAAATTCAAAAATATACTTACAGTTCTGAAGCGATAAAACGTTGATTTACAGTTATTAGGTAGCGCATAGAATTTCTGATTTTTCAAAGTGAAGCTGTGCAAGGCTCTAAAATTCATTTGCGAAAAGCAAACAACAATATATGCAATTGGTTTCAATTTTTACGGAAAACAGTTTAAAAGTTGAGGGTAAAATAGGTTTTTCATTAGTACAATCATTTAGCAATCCCAGCACTGAGCTAACAAAACAGAAAGATTTTTGATGTATGTAAAGCAACCAACGACTGAAAGTTGGTGTATAAAAATAAACTGTGTAATAGCAATAATATTTACATTGATTTGGTAATTAATGGGATAAATCTATCAAGAAAGGGAGATAGAAAACCGATACATTAAACAAAGGTCAACCAGTAGATAACGTGCAACCTTAACTACGGTACACCAGTTATCGAGTTTGTAGAACTAATTTACTTTAGAATATTTATACGCAGAATATGTTAAGTTAGAATCTTTACGATTAACCAATGAACAACCTGTCTGGCCAGAGTATTACAATCTAGATAAATCTTATATTATATCCTAACGAAGAATAAATGAGTGTTAATTGCTAGAAATTATTTATGAACTATTATTACACACGTTCTTATTGGATAACTATAAAGTAACTATATATATATATATATATATATATATATATATATATATATATATATATATATATATATATATATATATATATATATATATATATATATATTCATTTTATCATAAAATTTCATTTGACCTATTGATTACTATTATTTGATTTACTATTCTTAATTTATTCTCAATATCTCACACTCACAGCCACTTTTGGCTTGATCGTGTATAATTGTTATTTTCTATTTGATGATATGATGCGGTCTGATTTGCTTGTACATAAACTGCGTATGTTTGAAATACATGATTTATATAGCGGAGGTTGAGATTTGCTTTCTGGACTCAACGGTCAGGACTAGGCGAGAAGGATCAATAAAGATTCAGAGTTTGCACAAAGCTGCCAGTACTGTTTTGACATGTCATTGGTTTAACACAACAACAAGGTCTTATAAGTCGATGTTCTGATTGGCGATTTTGTCACGTGATAATTGACAGGGGCAAAAATCATAAAATCTTATGAGTTACCTAATAAAAATGACCATATCAATTAGTTTAGGTATATAAGAATATATATATACAGCAATCCACTGAAGAGCGTCTTAGAAATGCATTATAGCAAGTAGAAATGTATTTATCTATGATAACGTAAAAAGTTTTTTAAGAAGAACTTACATCAATAAGCTCTTCGAGACCAGTTCTATTGATTGATTTGTTACAGATAGAAGGTATTAGTCGATTATCTTCGGCGACTGAGGGAACAAGCAGAAATCGATTTTGATTTACATCAGAATGACACATGGTAAAGTTGAGGGAATGCAACGAGTCGTTACACAGATTTGTTGGTTTGAAAGTCGAAGAATAAAGATTATTTCCCGAAATCGGAGTCTGGATTTAAATGTATGATAATTTGGTACCAAAAAGAGAGGAAATATTAACACAAACTGTAATGGGCGCGGATGCGAGTACATTCAAGCTTACAACGTTAGCTGGCAAAAAATAATATATACTGCACGCTAACAAGAATAAATCGCCGATTACCGATAGCAGAAATTAGGATTATGTAAATAAATCCATGTTGAACCAATAGAAAGGTAAACAGTACATTTCAATGTCGATGACTGATAATTTTTCCCGACCGTAGTTGTTACCTTGACATGGTGGTCGGGCTTGCCTATCGTGATGAAGCAACTAAGCTATACTGGCTGGAAAAACCGTTCCTCAAAATCCTACCATGTCAGACAGGTCGGTTGAAGAGCGGTAAGACTAAAAGCTACAAACCCAAGTTCCGAAGGCGAAGTCGTACTGCCGACTGTACAGAAGTGTGACAACAGTAAGGTGTTTCCTTCAGACAACCAGCATGACAGCGATGCTGCCTTCCTACAAGAAAGGGTGGGGTTAGAAAAGATTGACCTTAAGAATGCACACCTCGCCTTATCCCACGGATATCCATCTCCGGCGGTAAGGTCCCAACAAGTACGGAGCTAACAAAAAAATTACCCACATGAAGGTCGTGTGTGACTGGCTTTAGGCAGTTGTCCCTTAGGTCCTGCGGTCATGTCCTCAGGTTATTAAGACCACCTCTCGCACTTTTCAGGTACGTCCAGAAGAACCCTTCCACAGTGTGAGCGATCGGGAAGTAAAAACCGCTTTCATACTTCTAATAGCACTCAGTCAGTCAGCAACAACGTAGAACTTCGTACGTACGTACATCAGTTCGAGTTGCCATACTACATTAGCACAGAGATGCAGTTATCGATTCAAATCCCCTAGTGGTAGAGGTAGTAAGAGTATAAGCAGTAATCGGAAAGATTAGGGTTCGAAGATTTTATTCAAGGAGTATAATCCAGTGAAACAAATTTGGAAAGAAAATAAAGGACATGAAGAATTCAGACTAGAATTTGGGAGAACACAAAGAGTAGATGCACCTGCGCCATTGCAAACGATTTTGAGCCATGTCATTCTGGGTCTCTAACCATCGGTCGCTATCATCTCGCGGTCCGCAACCAGGTAGTCTACACCTACCAACATGGCTCAGTCCACTTGTCAGTGACTTCATGGATTTGTGCCATGTTTTGGTCTGGCCGCCCCTAGCTTTCTTCCAACCTACTCCTATACCGTTGAGCATCGCACGTCCAGGCAGTCGGTGGTTGGACACACGTAACACGTGTCCCATCCATCTCAACTGATGAAGTTTCATTACTTCATCGATTGATTTGACATCCTTATCTAGTACCCGTTTCCTAACAACCGAGTTACTTACTCGATGGTCCCACGATATACGAGCAATATTTCGAAGACATCTATGATCGAATACAAGTAACCTACGAATGTCTTCTACTCTTACCGACCATGTTTCACTGCCATAAAGTAGGATGAAACGAACTGCTTCGCAGTAAACGCGTCCTTTGGTTGATAGACGGATATCTCGCTTACGCCATAAATGACGCATGTTGGCAAAAGCTAGTTGAGCCTTCTGTATCCGTGCTGAGATTCCGTCACACACCAGACCACAAAGGCTGATCAGACTCCCAAGATAAGTGAAGCAGTCGACACGCTCAACTACTTCACTCCCTATCATTAGTTCGGGTGTCGATGGAACCCAATCCTGAAGCAACATTTTGCATTTCGAAGGGGAGAATCGCATCCCAAACATGCTTGCATTGTTGCTTACAGTGGTCAGAAGACTCGGCATTTTGTCAGCGTCTTCACCAAACAGAACTATGTCATCGGCATATTCCAAGTCAACAAGTGGATCTCTCGGTAGAAGTTCAACCCCTGGAAAATCAGATGCGGAAAGTGTTATCTTTAAAGGCACGTCAACGACAAAGTTGAACAAGAATGGAGAGAGTGGACAGCCCTGACGAACACCACTTGAGGTAATCAATTCTGATGACAGTTCGCCATAAGCCCTCGCTCGGCCAGTTGTGTTCGAGTAGAGAGCCTTTACAAGGTTAATGTACTTCTTTGGTACTCCTTTCAGTGACGAACACTGCCATAGAACCTCACGATCAACAGAGTCGGATGCTGCCTTGAGGTCGAGAAATACTATCATTGTGGGGCTTCTGAATGTGTGCCTGTGTTCTAGAACCTGACGTAGTGCGAATATCTGGTCTATACAACCACGTCCAGGTCGAAAACCAGCCTGATTTTCTCTAGTCTGCTCTTTACGAGCCTCGGTTAGGCGTCAAAGTACTATTGAAGCTGGTATTTTAGACACTATATTAGTCAAACTGATTCCTCCGTGATTGTCAAAAGAGGACTTTTGTTCTTTCTTATAGACTGGCACAATCAGTGATTGAGACCAGTCAGATGGGATTACGTCCAGTTCCCAAATTCTACCTAAGACCTCAGTTAATCTCACTGCTAACACTGAACCGCCAACCTTTAAAAGCTCAGAGGTAAACCTGTCAGGGCCTCTTGCCCTCCCTTGCTTCAGATTTCTTATAGCGTTTTCAACTTCGTAAAGAGTTGGAGGACCTACATCAACTCACCATCCAGGTCGACTGGAGATCGTGAGGAACGGAAGTGTGGCTGTGACGGCGACCTGCTTGAGCATCTGGGCTACCTGTTCCTGCCATCTAGATATTTCAACAAGTTATCTATCTTTGTTTGTTTTAATATATCATTATGTCTATTAATCGCACAACCTATACTGCTGCGTTTCTGAAAAATGTACAACCTTTCGTTATTAAAGTTACAAAAAGCTCAAAAAGAGAGAATATGGTTGCTGGAAATATACAACGAAAAGAATGTACATCATTCCCATGTTCATTTACTGGACTGATAACATCTAGCTGGCGACCACTCAGTATTTATCGCGAGGACCGACCAAGAAGAAAGAAACGGAAACTTGTTGAAATACTTTGTGCTGAGAATTCTATATTGTACCAATAATATAATATTGAATAAAGCTAATAATAATAATAATAAAAAAAAGGCCAGTTGGACTGATCCTCCTTCTTCAATTTCTATTATCCCTCGTACATCAACTTTCAAGTGTCACCATAGCCAACGATTCTAGTGCGCAAAACTTTGTTCCAGGTCTACTGAAACCTCGCTCCAAACTATACATTGGAGATTTCAACGTACGCACCCTATGTCAAATCGGTCAATAATCTTCCTTGGCTAGAACCCTACAATCTCGTACCATTGATGTATGCTGTGTCTCTGAAACACGCACACAAAATCCCAGTGTGGTCATTCACCTGACCTCACCTCGGCAAAACGGAGAGCCAACGAGGTACACCCTCCGTGTATCCGGTGACCCGATGGCCAGTTCTCGTGCACTGGCAGGTGTAGGCGTAGCACTAAGCATGAGGGCAGAACAAGCACTGCTAGAGTGGATCCCCGTCAACAGTCGTCTATGTGCTGTCCGGCTAAACGGCTAGGTAAGAACTCGGGAGGATAGGGACACACGTCATCGCCTTTTTGTCGTTTCTGCCTACGCTCGCACTGACTGCAGCTCGGATGAAGTGAAAGATGAATTTTACAGAAAGCTAAACGTTCAGACATAGTACTCGTAGCAGGTGACTTTAATGCACAAATAGGTAGTTTAAACCAAACAGAGAGGCATTTAGGTGGATATTTTAGTATTATGGCACAATGAACAGATAATGGTGATCGTCTGCTGCAACTGTGCTCAGATAATCTTTCATTTTTAGCAAGAATAAATTTTAAACATAAGGAGAGACATCGACTAACATGTCGACCCTCTACACCAAACAAATCAGAGCTAGGTTAAGCAAAAGTCTAAGAAACGACCGTGAGCAGTGGTGGGCAATGAAAGCAAAAGAGATGGAAAAGGCGGCGACTATAGGGAACACAAGACAGCTCTACAGACTAATAAAAGAAACTGGAATTAATAAGTCAAGTGTAAGTCAGACTATTTCGGAAAAAGACGACACTCTCATCTGCTCTCAGTCCAGACGTTTAGAACGATGGGCGGAACATTTTAGAGAACAGTTCAGCTGGCCTTCCGCTACTCTACAACTACCCTCCATTCCCAGACAGTGTGAATGGAACATTGAAGTAGGTTCCCTAACTCTAGATGGATTGGTGGTCCAATTTTAGCGATTAGGTTGACTAATATTTTAGCTAAGATCTGGGAGTTAGACGTTATTCCATATGACTGGTCGCAATCACTTATCGTCCCAATATATAAGAGACGGTTAAAATCATCCTGTGACAACCATAGAGGGATTAGTTTAACTAATATAGTATCGAAAATACTAGCCTCGATAATTATCAGACGCCTAACTAAGACTCGTGAACTGCAAAAACGAGAGAATCAAGCTGGCTTCAGACCTGGTCATGGCTGCATCGACCACATATTCACCATTCGTCAGGTTCTAGAACATAGGCATACTTATCGGCGTACGACAATGGTGGTCTTTCTTGACTTAAAAGCAGCATTTGACTCTGTAGACCGCGAGATTCTGTGGCAGTGTCTGTCATCGAAAGGCGTACCTCAGAAGTACATAAACCTTGTAAAGGCTCTTTACTTGAACACTACTAGTCGAGTGAGAGCTTATGGCGAACTGTCATCTGCTTTTGCAACCTCAAGCGGCATCTGTCCATTTTCTCCATTTTTGTTTAACTTCATCATAGACTTACTGGTGGTAATAACATTCTCGTCTACTAAATTCTCGGGTATTGATCTCCATCCAGGAAGTCCACTTATCGACTTGGAATACGCAGATGATATAGTCCTGTTTGGTGAGGACGCTGATAAAACGCAGAGTCTTTTGGTAGCACTAAGCAACAATCCCAGAATGTCTGGAATGCACTTCTCACCCTGTAAATGCAAACTGCTGCTTCAGGACTGGTCTGCGTCAACACCTGAACTAAGGATAGGAAGTGAAGTAGTCGAACGCGTTGACAACTTCACTTATCTTGGAAGTCTGATCAGCCGTAATGAGTTGGTGCCTGACGAAATCTCCGCACGGATTCGAAAAGTTCGTTTGGCTTTTGCCAACTTACGTCACCTTTGGCGAAGGCGAGATATCCGTCTATCAATAAAAGGACGAGTATACTGCGCGGCAGTCCGTTCTGTTTTAATTTACGGCGGCGAAACATGGCCATTAAGAGTAGAAGACACTCGTAAGCTACTAGTATTTGACCACAGATGCCTTAGAAATATTGCTGGCGTCTGCTGGGATCACCGGATAAGTAATAGTGAGGTTAGACGCAGGGTATTATAGAATGATGGTAAATCAGTTGATCAGCTTGTGAATCTTCATCGACTGAGATGGATGGGCCACGTGTTACGTATGCCCGAACACCGATTACCACGACGTGCAATGCTAACCGGTGTTGGAGATGGTTGGAAGAAAGTTAGGGGCGGCCAAACCAAAACGTGGCATCAGTGCTTGAAGTCACTAACTTCTAGTCTGAGCCATGTTGGGAGATGCAGACTACTTGGTTGGGGTCCGTGTGACTATCGTAACCAATGGTTGGAGACTCTTGGTGACATGGCTCAGAATCGATCACAATGGCGTCGGTGTATACACTCTCTGTCTGCTCTTAAACTAAGAGATTAAAATCACTTCATATCTTTCTTTCTACTAACTAATTCTTTCTTCGTGTACTATATCCTTATTGCAATCTTTCTTTTATATATTACCACCTTTGAATGAACTACTTTTATGAATCCGGTGTCCATCTTGTTGTGTTAATGAGGTATGGCAACTTGGACCGATGCATATATGTGCCCGGTCCTACGTTGTAGCTGACTGACTGACTGACTGAGAATTTTATCCAAGCTTAAAAAACTATCAGCAAGTTAAATAGGGGATCGATCTATCAGATATAGACTAAATATAAGAAACTGATGGTGGAGGGTCTTGTAATTCTGGCAATGTAATTATTAAATGATAGGAGAATTTGGAACTTTCTAGATCGTTGGTTTATTTTTTAAAGTTATTTGATACGATAAAAGTCGAAGATATTAAAATAGTAAATGAAAGCGTTTCGAATAAACAAAACTACGCATTATTTACTCATACGGTTCGATATGTTTTTGTTGTGTGCTCACCATGGAGAATCGGTAAATCGTTTGATTACTAGTCCCAAAACAATCCCATAACGATCTAACTACTTAGCAAAGAAGATCCCAAATAAAGACTGTTTTGTTGACTAGACAAAATATGATAAAAAGAACACTACGACTGGGGGTTATTTTCTCTGCTATTATAATTCTTATCATTTAGATAGAACATATCTGTAATATGAATTTTCTACACAAAACAACAGGCGACGTAAAAGTAATTAGTTGACGTGAGGTACAGCTTACAAAGTTTTCGAAAATCGATTACTGAAAGATTACGATAATAACACTATGCTCAGAAGTAGAAAGTTACTCCAGTAAAAAATAAAACATTTCACTCACTAACCTCGATTAATAAACGTTTCAGTTTCAAAAGAATAATTCTTGTTGCTCGTAATTCCTCAACCATTTCTCTTTGTTCATTAGCAAACAGGAAACTAGATGGATGCTTTAATTCATGACGCAAAGAATCATTAACAGTTTTCATTGAAGTTGATTCCATAAAAGATGGAGAAAGTTTTAGAGGATGATTTGGCCTAAATAGGATTAGTAAGGTTTTAAAATGTATGAATCAAGCAAACAAAATATAGATCTTTTGTAAGATAAAGAATACTACATAAATAAATTATATTTTGGAAATAACATGCAGTTACAATATAATCATAACATACAATTATTCTTACTGAAAAAGAACAACAGAGAATAACGCTAAACTTGTGCAACACAAGACAGGGTAGCAACTCAAAAAATTTGCACCAATTAAAATGACATAATGACAAGAATTAAAATAAAATGATTGTACGACGGGAAAATAACCACCACATACTGAGGAAAAATCAACCCTACTTCACTATCGGATAGTTATAATCAGCGTAGGATCTAGCACGAATGTAAGTCAGCTGCAATTGCAATACCACATTAGCATGACGAGATAAAATAGTCCCCAAATTCTATCAAAGATCGCGGTTAATCTAACTGCTAAAACTAAACCACTTCCTCGCGGGTTAGTCTATCAGATCGTGCTGATTCCCCTCGCTTCAGACTGCTCATAGCCTTTCCAACCTCACCAAGAGTTGAAAAACTTATATCAATTTCCCATTCAGGTTGCTTGGAAATAATTGGTAACTGAAGTGTGGCTGAAGGTCAGTTGAACGTTTTCCAAGAGTGTTCTGGCCATTGGTTTAATCTCCTGGGTTGAGAGTGAATATTACTCACGTCTTTTTCCGAGATAGTCTCACTAACGACCGAATTCCTAATACATGTTTCATTGATAAGTTAGAACAGTTATCTACTGTTTCCGGGCATCTAAGTGTCCAAAAAACGTTAAAGACACCAACTGGAAAATAATCCATGTCATCACAAATAATAAACGTACATCGACATATTTGGAATGGTGTATCGTATTCTGTATTTCATGTTTTAGTTTTCTTTCTTCTAGGTTAACCACAAACATCGGCCAAAGTAGGCTATAGGAGCGATCCTAAAGCCACCCTACCTGTTTGCTTGTACAATTGATTGCTGAACTGGAGATGACTTTCTTTCATCCAAAGCAATAATAATTTCCTCAACTTATTTTATGGTCAAGAAAGTAGTTCAGACTGTTCGCAAATTATATTAACAACCTCTTTTAATGGTATGCGTGTAAATAATGAGCAGACATTAAAAGACATCATGAATTTATCAGGGTTATTCAAATTATCCATTTCATCAGAAAACTGTGGTCTGTCTATTAAACTATGAGCTGCCAATTTCTTAAGAATTGGTTCTAATAATTTAGTTAACCATCGAGCTAACTTATGATATTAGTGAATCTACCATAGACACTATAGATCTTAACGGGATATTGAATTTGTGTACATGATGGAAACTATATATGAAAGGCAATCTCGACCATTTTGCCTGCAGATTGTTGTAAGTTGAATTATCGATGAGTTTCTTTTTCAAAAGTTCCCTAGGTTGTTTATTAACTCTGTTTCCCATCGTTCCGATGACATATTTACTAGATTTGCCAACTTGGAATTTTGATTCATCTTTGAGAATTTGGGCTATTTTATACACATAATCTTTTCGATTCATTATTACAATACATGAAGCTCAATTTGGTCTTATTATAACGGTCTTATTCTTTTGTAAATTCTTCAATGCCAACATATGTTCCTTCGTCACCATTCTTGGATGTGAAATTGCAAGAATATAATGTTGATTTGCCATATCAACAAGTTTGGATTCAGACCAACCCTTTCTGTCATGATCTATAAGTTTTAAGTCCGTGACTTGTTGGTACAGCCTTTCAAATTGAATTTGTACATCAACTTGGTTGACATTTTTACTTGGAACATGGCCATTTAAATCTTGATTAGCTTTATGCTTGACAGATTATATACATAATCTTCGGCTGTATATAGGTTATGAGAAGTTGTGAAACATAATTAATCCCTTTTTTGACAAACCTTATTGATTTTGCTGTTTAAATGTATCGAGAGATCTGGTTGCCTGAAGTTAGTATAAGTTTATTTAGTACAGAAGAACGCAGAATATATAGTAGTCAAAAAATAATTTTGATCATGTCAATGTCATGATATGAGACTTTTACCAATAGTTGTTATTTGAAATTATAAAAACTTAGTAATAACACTTCGAAAATAGACATTTTTTGCTCTATATGCTTGGAAAAGTGACGTGGCACTTCATTCTGTTCGTATTTAAGGGAAAGCACACTTAATATCTTAGATTGACACTTATCTTTTTCGTTTATTCGTACCGTCTTTGTTAACGCTGGGATTTGTCTTCTCTTTAGTGATCACTTAAAGTACAGTACCATTAAGTAATAAATCATTACTTAATATTCTAACCTATCAAATATAAATGCTCTTTCATAATTTTTGAATAAAGTTCACAAGTTAAACAAAACTTATCAGGTTAAATTCTGCATATAAACATAGACTGTGAATAAGGAATTAAAAAGAAAATGTGTTCTTTGAAAAGAAACTACAAAGCGATAAAGAATCCAATCAGAAATCGCACAATTGTTTTTCAGTCAGCTATAAGTTCTCATGAGGTAAAATGAAGAAATTACTCAAATCCAATAATCTGATATTTCACCTTATTCAGTGATATATACATAGCGTATTTGCAAAACAGTATTACAAACTATGCTTTGAAAGTAGTTTACAGTGTTTGTTAAATACAAACAAATTTCTAGTGACAAAAATAACTGCCAAGGAAATGTTAACCAATAACACCATAAGCATTGACACATAAACGATACTGAGAAATTTTACCATAATAATAATTACCAGATACTAATAGTAGTGAAAATCAGAAAATTCACTAAGTTTGGTCAATTATCAGGGTCCCAAATATTTTGAGTAAAATTTCCCATTCGGCCTTGGAGTGTTAACGGCATGTTAGTGGTTTATTTGACGGTTTACTGACGTGGAAGTAGTGTATTGGACACAAAACTTGGTTACGACAGACTAGTTGTTATTCAAATGAATGAGTCTGTCGGGCGGCTGGAACTTTTATGTTCTATGACAAACAAGATTCACGTAGTAAATAAACAGTTTGTTTTTAGTATGCATTAGAAAAACATATTTTCATGAATTTCTTTACTTTACCACAGGAAAAAACAGAGCATTTAATATATATATAATTTACCTTTGTGTAGGAATTCCAAGACTTACCGTCTTGGAAATCAACTTTTTATCTGAACATTTGGCAGTTACAGTGTTTAGTAAATTTGTACAGGATGGAGAATTCAATAAGTAATTGTAAATATCTTCTGATACATCATTATTTAGGTCATAATGTCTACTACCATTATTTAATTGCTTTTCGAATTGTAGATCGGAATCATCAGTTTTTCTTGTTTCGGAAGAGTTGCGCTTCAATGTTGAAACAGATGAGCAGTTAAGGATAAAATTTCTTTGCAACGATTCATGTACATCTTGATTATCGGAAGGACTGAGTGTACGAGATTGAAATTTCATCGGTTGTTGTTTTCTGACATTAGAAATACGTGGGGCACGAGGTTCGGAAACTTTACCGCCAAACACTAAGTATTTTCCATTTTCCTTGACGTTGCTAGTTTTTGTGTGTGATAAATTACTATTATGCACACTAGTATTGGTTACTTGAGAAGTGGAACATGAGGAGACATCTATTATGTAGAACAAACAATATGATAATGTATCAAAACACTCTTTAGAACATTAAACTTGGAAATTAGTAAATAAGTATGAAAAATGACATGATTGCTAAAAATGATTCGACTTTGATTACAGCAGAAATCTAAGCTCCGGGAAGTCTGTGTTAGATGATGATGAAATGTGAAACAACAGATCAATCCCGATTAAAACCACGTAGATCTACCTAGTTTTATTTACACATTTTGTGTACTGATACAATGTATCACCAGATTGCTTCTGAAAAAGTAACGACGTTAAACTTGAATGACTGTCCTACCACACCCCCCCCCAAATACGATTGCCTCAGATCGTTCTTCCAAAATAGAAATGAGGCTGAGAAGAGTCGACTGACCTACTTAGGTCTCTTTCATTTTCCCACCGAAAACATTCCGAAAAACGGCTGTGAGGTAAGAAGCTAGTTTTGGAAGTGGGTATAGATGTACGACTAGAAGGAAAAATAATAGGTGCTCAGACTACTCATCAAAATAAGTAATTGCTTGATAGCACATAGGCTAACCAAATCTCCTTGAATTCAATGCTTTTAGAGTAAGCAACACTCAACGTACAATAGAAAAGTCAACCGAATAATGGATATCATTTGACTGGCTGAATCGAGAAGCAAATACACTGGTAAGTATAAGCGAATTCAGTAAAAAAAAACGCATCCAAATGAAAAAAAAGTTTGTCAAACATCTTGTAATAATTTAGACAAACACCAAGCAACCAGTAAGACTAACGTTTTGATACCAAAAAAGCTGGCACAACAGCACACTATGAAATACGCTACAAAGAACGAAATGATATCGTGAAGAAATGAAGAGAAGGAACCACAAGACAAAAAATAACTTTGGAGGAACACAGTATAAATGAAATACACTTCGTTCAGTTAAAAAAGCACCTGCTATTTACGAAGGAATGACGAAAAAATCCAGAATAATCATCACTAATTTTCAATTTGACTTATGTCCCATAAAGCCGCAAGCTATTGGGTTGCAAAATTTTCAGAACTAAAAACTATCCTTTATAACATGAATTCTTGTCATAAAATCAACACCTACTCGCAATTTCTATCTACTACCAACGTCGGCGATTAGTGATCCGCATAAAAGTTGTTGAAAATAAATGCACGAAATATATGCAAGACACAAAGGCCTGTTTTAAAATAATATTATTCATTGGACAATAATCTCAGATATCTACAAACACACATCGATAGACCTCAGCCAATAACAGCAGACAGATTTCTGACAATCCTTTCGAGATACATAGTTATGATAAAAACTAAGTCATATACTTATGTGAGCTCATAGTCAGTTCATAGTATGTGATTTCGTCGAACTTTGTGTGTATTATGTATTTATACACAGGCAGCACTGTGCCAAATTTATTGTTAGTTCAACACTAAAAATTCAACAGAACAATTTTTTACATACATTTTCCCTTTGTATTTTAGCCTTAGCTTCAACGAAATTTCAGAAAAGGTTAACACGCACTAAATGTCTAATGTTTATAAGATTTTATCGTTTTAACTAACCTTAATATCCAGAAATGAATGAAATTCTAAACTAGGAAGTAGCTGTACAATGGATAAAATAACCGTTCTTACTCATCGCAAATAATTCAACTAGCATCATCATTATATGCTGAATTTAAGTAAAATCTACCTTATATATGGTTTTACGTATTTTCCCAAAACTAATTATACGTACCATTTTCTTTTACTACACTACTTAACATTAGGTCATAATCACTAGATGCTGGTAAATTTTGTCCTTTGTTATACGTTTTGGGGTCTGGATCAGAGTTCTGAATAGGGGGATTTTTGGATTGCAGCTTTTTACTGGTAATCGCTGTGTTTGAAAAAAGATGAATAGATCTAAATCCAAAACAACCGACAGATCGATGTAATCGCTTCTTCATCTACAAAGGAAACGCTAGAATGATAACCGCGAAAAAGTCATAGAAAATATTTCGAAATAAAACCAACCAGTTAACCATTCGTGATTTTAAACATCGATTATGAGAAAGCTTTATCTTTTACACATAAGCATCAATATAAACGAGGAATCCGAAAAGGATATTGTTAGCGGGACATAAACTGGATTAAAGCATGCTCAATGCACGATTGCTTTGGTGCACGCTGATTGGCTAATTCTTATCCAATCAGTGTTAGTCAATACTTAGTGAACACTAGAAATCTTCTCATGTGAAAAACTATAAATATACTAACGTTTTCCCTATTGTGCTTCTTACTTCCATATAACCTTGTTATTGGAATATAATCTCTTTGCTGTTCAACCGTGTTCTGATTTGGGGACTTGTCGAGTGAATCGGTGTCCGAGAATACTAAGCAATAGGAATAGCTGGGTTATAACCGTAAGAGAGAATTATAACAGATATGAAGGAGTCTTCGACAACCTGGAGCAAGGACATTGGTGGAGTAACATTCTCTGGATAAAAACGGTTAATTAATTTCTACGGTGTCCTTGTTACGTAATTGACGATGTGGGAGTGGTCAGAAATGTTTTATATTTTTAAGGGTCATTTACCAAGTATAGATCTATGCCTTAGGCTACGAGCTACGCATTAAGTGCAAGAGCTTCGATACTACCCAATCCCCAAAGTTGAAGTAGATGGGACAGAGATTAGGCTCGTAACTTAGCGGCTGAGAGGGTCTTGATCGCTGAGCCACCAAATCTACGTGTGGTAAGTAATCAAGACGAATCAAATTTGCAAGAGATGGAAATACTGAACACAGTAAGCATCATAGTGGAGTTGATGTTCTATCGATATCCCACTTGGTTGAGTCGAGTTTGATTACTCTACAGAGCTGTTGTAGATGTGACATCCCCAAATACAACGCATAAAGAAGAAACTACCACTTTGTATTAAAATATTCAGCCAATTGTTCATGATTAGAAAATAACGAACACAATTTGAATTCACAATAATGACTACTATGGATGATTGTGGAAAACACTGAAGATAGATATAAGTGTTAACTGGATCAACGGTTCATATTTATCTAGATTTTCTACGGTAACTTTCTTGAAGTTAATACATCTTCAACCACTAGCTCTGATTTGCCGCATTACATCGAATAAGAACCCATGTTAAGCTGTATCGATATTGTTGCCAAAGATTAACGGTTAACGAATATCGGGCTTTATACCATTTTAGTCCAGTCTGCAACAAAGTGTGATCTCGAAGTTCATGCACTTATCAATGAATCTGATCCTGGTCCCAAGCCTTTACGATTTACCCCATCGCACTCAAGCAATAAGTTATCAAAAGAAAACTCTGAAATCTATACGTTGGCGTTGAAGTGCATGACATTTCGCCAAATTATGCTCATTCAAAAACCACCGAAGCAGTAAATGTAATATAATAAGCTATTAAAATAGACGCCACAGTCACAATATGCTAAAAAAAAATCCAGAAAACGGAGAAATCTAAACAACAAACTAAATGAAATCAACAGGCATATCAACAAACATCACCGCAGTACCCATATAAACAAGATAGCCAATTTTAACGGTCATATTATCAATTTGCCTCTAAGCTATCTGTTAACCGTTAAGATTCAGTTAAGAACAAATGGCTTAGATTCACTCGATCGGTGTTTTATTCTCTGGGGGAAAGAACACCTGTGAACTAAATATCCAGTCATTAATCCAAAAAGAAAGACCAAAACCAACCTCGGACTGTTCCATTTCAAAATGAGAGATATTAGGGTTATGACACTCCCAAATATAACATACAAAAAAGAAAATCCACCTTAAAAATTGCACATATATAAGGTGATTTTTGTTCAGTCAACTTTTAATGCATTTCGTTGCGTTAATTTGTTCGAAAATAAAAATGTTTAAAGACTTCCTGTGTATTTTCAACTGCATAATTTCGATCAATACGCATTGAATAAACTGAACTTCAATGAACTTTCATTTATTTAATAAATTTACTGTGATTTTGGCAATCAATGAAAACTGATTAGTTGATATTTATTTATATGTGTATTTGAACACAAATATTGCTACACGGCGGCACCAAATAAACATGTGCCACACAAAACAACATTTGGGAGGAAACTAGGCTATTCGACGTAAGTTTAGGCAGAGATTGAGATGTGAATTCAGAGTCAAGTTTCCCAATGGAGCACACAAAAAACTCACTTCTAGTGGCAGGTGCAATAGACAGTATATGGGTCAATGGTTGCTGAAATGCATATCGCGTTTTGATAGAAAATATTACCTATATTTCCTCATTGGATTTTACCTAGGTAAACTAAGTGTTCTCTGCTTGTTGTCACGTCTTTCCCCAAGTGACCCTCGTCATTTTCTAATCATTCTTGTTTCGTATTCTACAGTTCTGATTTTTACTGATACAATAAAGGATAGAAAGATTCATTTCCAAAATATGATTATTGAAATAGTAGCAACTCAATCGTAAGCAATGTAGTCTGGCACTAGTGTGGGTTAGCCACATCTCATTAGCACGAGACGAATACTAAAGAGGTCAAAAAGTTAGCTTTTGACAGTCTCTATCCATACAAGTTACCGCTGATCCTAATATTCGGATGATCTTTCATTCCTCTGTTCTCTAACTAGGGAATTCCAAATTAGAATAATCACTTTTGTTTACCACTAATGTACTTGAAAAACATCTGACAATTGTTTACCTATGATTGAAAGTTCACATGACTGCATTATTTTCTGTGGTTTATTAGTATTATTAATTATTCAAACAATTTATTTATTTGAACACAAATATTGCTACACGGGGGCACCAGATATACATGTGCCACACAAAGCAATGAGAATGGGGAGTAAGAAAGAAGGTAAGGTGCGTATAAGAAATAAAAAAAGAACAATAACGACCACAGATTAGTGTATGGTAGTGTAATGATAATAATAATAATGCGAGAAACAGAAAGATACAACCAGAAGAATTCTTTCAGTTAAGGAAGATACAACCACTTTTTATGAAGAAAGTAAAAGAAGGTTACAGCAGGATCGCCACCGACTTCTATTCTGAGCCATATCTGATAACATCTCTAGCCACTGTGTTGCACCATCTCTAGCACCCCAACCATGAAGTCGTGAAGGACCGACAGAAACCAGTCCTTTGCAGCTTTCTTTCATTCCGCGACATCATGTCATACACTGACCACCTTTCTGCTTTTTCCAACCAGTCCGCGCGTCCGCAAATAATGCACGACGTGGAATTCTCTGGGACGACGTTCGTAGGACATGTCCAAGCCACCGAAGTCGATGTTTCGAGATGGTGACACCAATTGAACTATCGTCTCTGCGCCCGAACACACGATGCCGAACCTCTTCATTACTGACATGGTGTCGCCACTGGATGTAAGCAATCCTTCGGAGACAACGATGATCAAACACAGAGAGACGTCTAACATCCTCAACTCGGAGAGGGCAGGTTTCACAAGGATAGTGTAAAACTGCTCTCACCGACGCGTTGTAAATCCGACCTTTTACAGCCAGACTAACGTGACGAAGGCGCCGAAGATGGCCCAGATTGGAATAAGCCGCTCTGGCTTTCACTATACGTGCATTGATCTCATCACTCACGCCACCACCGGCACTTATGCAGCTACCCAGGTACACAAAATTCCCGACTACTTCTACCTGCTCACCACCCAAAGTGAGTACAGGATCAGAATCCTGCCAGTCTTGTAAAAGTACTTTGTACTTCGAAGGTGAAAAGCACATACCGTACATACGGACATTGATTGCCAACTGATTAAGTGCGGATCGCTCGACTGTTGTTACTACCTTGACGTGGTGGTCGGGCTTGCCTATCGTGACGAAGCAACCGAGCTATACTGGCTGAAACAACTGTTCCTTGAGGTCCTACCATGTCAGACAGGTCGGTTGAAGAGCGGTAAGACCATTTCGGCGAGCTGAGGTCGAGTGACTGACCACACTAGGGTCCTGTGTGAGTGTTTCGGAGACAGCATACATCAATAGTACGAGATTCTAGGGTCTTAGTCAAGGAGGTCTGCTGGCCGATTCGACATAGGGTGTGTACGTTGAAGTCTCCAATGTGTAGTTTGGAGAGAGGTTTCAGTAGACCTGGAACAGTGTTTCGCGTACTAGAATCGTTGGCCAGGGTGACACTTGAGGAGGAAGCCAAAAGAGGAATTTTAGGGTTGAAAGTCGAGGTGGGAGGAATAATAGGAATTGAAGAGGGAGGTTGATTATGAATACAGTGGTCTTGAGTACTATTAGAAGTGTGAAAGCGGTTTTTACTTCCCGATTGCTCACAGCGTGGAAGGGTTCTTCTGGACGTACCTGAAGAGGGCAAGAGGTGGTCTTAGTAACCTGAGGACATGACCGCAGTACCCAAGGGACAACTGCCTAAAGCCAGTCACACACGACTTTCTTGTGGGTAATTTTTTTGTTAGCTCCTTGCTTGTTGGACCTCACAGCTGGAGACGGAAATCCGTGGGATAAGGCGAGGTGTGCATTCTTAAGGTCAATCTTTTCTAACCCCATCCTTCCTTGTGAGAAGGCAGCATAGCAAAGTTGGTGGCGTGAGTGATGAAACCAATTCGCGTAAACAACGTCGTCAGTTCCTTAGTCAGAAAGTCACCACCATCTTTAAAAAGAGCCGGAGGTAAGTCACCTGGGTCAGGTGATTTGTAGCACTTCAAGAGCTTGCTAATATCAATCCGTTGGTGGCGGTCACTTCTTTGTCCACTGAAAAGTAAGGTAAGATTGGCGCAGACCAGGGCATGGTCACAGTCCAGATAGGTACTCGAAAAGAAGCGGCAGTCTTGTACACAACCACGCCAGCGGTAGCTGATCGCGATGTGATCTATCTGAGTCCAGGCTTGGGATGCAGAGGGAGGACTACAGGTGGCACATCGGTGATGACTGTGCCGAAAGTTAGTGCTA